GGCGCCCAGCTAGTCCGCTTGTCTGCTGGCCAGGGATTTGGTTTTTCTCAGCTCGCTGGGTTAGGGTTCTTGGTGAACTGGAGGAAGTCCCATCCGGTTCCTCCCAGGTTCGGACCTGGCTGGGCCTTGTGTGGGACTCTTGGAACGCTTCTTTGTCTCTTCCTGCGGAATCTCTTCTGCGGCTGCGGTCCTGCTTGTGCCTGTTTCTGGGGCTTCCGGGTCACCCGGCAGTTGCTCAAGGGTCTGTGCAGGAGCCTGAACTTCGCGATGCTGGTCTATCCGCCGGGTCGGGTTTGGCTTCGTCGGCTGTTCTGGTTCCTTTGGGGACGTTCCTTCTGCTCCTCTCGCGATCGCTGGGTTTTGGACTCCGGGGGCTTTGCATCGGTTGTTGCGTCACCAGCTTCCTCTTCTAACAGTGCCTTGGCACCTACCCAAACCCTCGCTCGATGTGTTCATGGACACGTCTCTCGGCTGGGGCTTTGTGACCAGTGCTCACCAGGCTGGCCAGGGACGGTGGGGTCCGTCCTTCCGTCGAGCCCACAGCACTGTGTGGGAGTTCACGGGAGTGTGGTTTGCTCTTCAGAGGATTTGAGTCACCCGCAGGTCGACGATCCGGCTCCATTCGGACTGCTCCCCAGTGGTTCATTGTCTGAACTGGGGGGGGGGGTTTGATCTGGTCCTTGGCTCTTTGGTGCTGGTCGCTTCGGGCGACTTGTCGGCTGAATTCTCGGGGTTTGGGTCTCCTGGCAGTTAACGTGCGAGAAGTGTTCAACTTCTTGGCCGACGGCCTGTCACATTTCGTTCCCCCTCTCCATGGAATGGACAGTCAACGCCAACTCCTTCCGTTGGCTTTGCCAGATGTTCGGACTTCCCGAGGTGGACCTCTTCACGTCGGTGTGGTCGCGGCGCCTTCCCCTGTATGTGGCACCCTTTCCCGACTGCGAGGCCGTCGGGGTCGACACCTTTCGGCAGGACTGGTCGAGGTGGGGGTTCCTGTACCTCTTTTCCCCCGGTTCAGCTGTTGCTCCAGGTCTTGACTCACTTGGAGACTTACCAGGGGAGAGAATTGTCCTCTTGGCCCCTTGGTGACCGGCCCAGTCTTGGTTTCAGGCAATGCTTGCTTGGTGTCCAAACCCGGCGATTTTTCCGCAGCTCCGCCTCTTCCAGCAGAACGGACCGGTCACGTGGATGGTTCGATCTTCTCAAGTCTTCGCGTATGGTATTTTTTACCCAAGTTTATGATCATCTCTGTGGTGATCCGGTGCCTTCCTTATAAGTGTCCCACCTGCGGGCTTCGTCTCGGCGGCAGTATGAAGTTTCCTGGCGGTCCTTCCGGTTCTTCTTATGTCTTCGTCGTTGTACTTCACTTTCTGTTAGGGTGGTGTTGTCCTTTCTCACTTGGTTGTTCCAGGACCGTCTCCTTCCTAACACTATCGCCTCGTATTGTGCGGCACTGACGGAGCTGCTTCAGCTTGCTTTCGGTATTGATGTCACGTCTGCGCCGTTTCTCATGCTGTCTCGGGCGTTGTTTCACCTCTGGCCTGCTCATGCACCTCCTAACCCGTCTAGGTAATTAGACAGAGTGCTCTCTTTTCTTTCTTCTCGTTTTGTTGTGGCCCCTATGGTTCCGGATTGTTTTTCGAAGTCTCTTTTCCTGTTGGCATTGGCCTCCGAGGGTCGGGTAAGTGAGCTTCATGCTCTCCTCCGGCACAGAGGTTCCTGCTCCTTCGGTCGGGGTGATCGGTTTGTTCGTCTGCAGCCTATTCCTTCTTTCCTGGCGAAGAATGAGACTGCTGCGTTCCAGAGGGGTCCCTGGGGTGTTGATGCTTGGTTGGTTCGGCCGGGGGTGCATTATGTTTTGTGTCCGGTTGCGGCTCTCCGCCATTATTTGCGCGCAATGGCTTCTGTGTCTGTGGACGCACTTTGGGTTGATCCGGTTCTCCTTCTTCCCTGTTCGAGGGTGCGGGTCTCCCAGGTCGTCCGCGGGGTTATTGAGGCTAGCCAGCCTGCGGTCTATCCCAATGCCCATGATGTCCTCAAGTTCGTGGCTCTTGCCGCTGTCTTTGGCAGTGTGTCCTGAGCTGGTATTCGGGTGTGGGGATTTTGGCGGTCAAACAGGGTCCTGGCTGGCTCGTTACCTTGTAAACATTCCTGGGCCCGGTCGGGCTTGTGCTGCTTTGGGTTGGCAGATGCAGCCAGTTGTCTCGACTTCGGGTTGAGGAGTGAGCAGCAACCGCCTCCCGGGGTAAGTCCCTATTCTTTTCCTCCGTGGGTAGTTAGCTCCGGAGGAGCCGTAGGGGCTCCCCCTAGAAAACCAGCGTTGAATGTAATGAAACACCATTTTCTGGGTTAGTCCCGGAGGCTGCCCGGCATCCCTCCCTCCTGTCGGCGTTTTTTTTTTTTTTTTTTTTTTTTTTTTTTTTTTTTTTTTTTTTTTTTTTAAACATCCAGCCTCAGAACTGGGGTGTGGATCGCTGGTGCGGTAGGTCTGGGTCTATCCCTTTCCCCTCTTGGGGAGGGGAGCTGTGCAGACAGCGGCGCGACAACGGGTGATGTCATACTAGTTTGCTCATTTTTGTTTGGGAAGTTCTATCCACTCTTTCGGCTTTTGGTTGCAGTTTTCACCAGAATAGGGGTTTGTTTTGGGACGCCTACCTTTCTGGGTGCCTAACCCGGTCGATAGGCCATTGCTCCCCTTGCCTTTCTAGAGGGGACCAGGTTCTGGCTCGTGGTCCCCGGTAGGCTCATAAGAACTCCATACACATGACTGATGCCAAAGTCTGACATTAGCATATCAGCCTACTAAGCTCCGGGGAGCCTCCGGGACTCACCCAGAAAATGGTGTTTCATTACATTCAATGCTGATTTTATTAAATTTTCGAAATTACGCATATGTTTTTAAGTGTATATAAAAAGGACAAGATATGAAAATATGCTCACACTATTAGTCTATATCACAGTAAAAAGAAAATAAACATTCATATCTTCTGGCAGATTTTCTGTGGGGAGCCCCTTCGGCTCCCTGTAGCTATCGGGCTAATGTGTGATATATATTAGACTGGGCCATTAGTCTAAGGAGTTTGACCTACTGGGGACCACAAGCCAGAATCTGGCTCCCCTCAGAGAGCTTGCAATGAGCATTGGCCCTGGAAAACCCCCTTTGTGGTTGCAAGGTTTTCCTTATCTGCCATCGACCGGGGTTAGGCACCCATAAAGGTAGGCATGACAAAACAAACCCCACATACTAAGAAAAGTACTGTACAAAGAAAAACTGAACAGAGGCAGAACTCCCTCCAATCCCAAGGAAACAAGCAAACGTCACACTCCACTGCCGCGCCGCTCGTTCGTGCAGCCCTTCCTGAGTACTGCGGAGTTTGAACCTCACTGTGCTGGTCTATCTGATGGGTTGGGTTTCGCTTCGGCATCTGTTCTAGTTCCTTCGGGGAATGTACCTTGCATAGTTTGCCTTTCGTAGTTTTCTGTGTAGCAGGTTTCTTCTTCAGGGTTTTTGGGGTTCAGTGCCTTGGCACCTACCTGAACCCTGGCTTGATGTGTTCATGAACGCATCATCTCTCAGCTGGGGTTTGGCAACCAGTGCTCACCAGGCCAGCCCAGGGTGTCGGGATCTGCCCTTCTGTCAGTCTCACAGCACGATGCAGGAGTTCGTGGCTGTTTGGCTTTCGCTTCGGATGGTTTGGGTCGCTCGGAGTTCAACCATCCGGCTCCATTTGGACTGTTCTCCGGTGGTTCATTGCCTGACCCAGGGGGGGTGGGGATTTCTTGTTGGTCCTTGCCTCTTTGGGACACGTTGCTTTGAGTGGCTCATCTGCTGGCTTCTCAGGGTTTGGCTCTGTGTGCGGTTCATTTCCAAGGAGTGCCCAACGTCCTGTCATGGTTCATTCCTCTGTCTATGGAATGGACGGTCGACACCGACTCCTACAGTTGACTCTGCCGGACCCATGAACTCCTAAACGTGAACCTCCTCGCAACGGCGTGGTCTCAGTGTTCGTGATCTATGTGGTGCCCTACACCAACAAATGTCACCGACTGTCGCGGTGGATACCCTTCAACTGGACTGGTCAAAGTGGGGTTACCTGTATCTCTTAACCCTGGTCCAGCTGTTTCTTCAGGTTCTGGCTCAGAGTCCTACCAAGGAAGAGTAGTCCTCATGGCCCCTTAGTGGCCAGCCCAACCTTGGTTCCAGGCGCTGCTTGCTCGGTGTGTGAACCCGGGACGTTTTACGCGGCTCCTTCTCCTTCCAGTGAGTCGGAGTGATCCGGTACATGGCTTGTTCAGTCTTCTCTGCTCTTCGTGTCTGGTCCTTTTTATGTAGGTTTATCACTATTTGTATGGTAATCAGATGGCTTCGTTGATGGTGTCCCACCTGAGGGCTTCGTCTTGGCAACAGCATGAAGTTTCTTGGTGTTCTTTCTGCCATTTTCTCTCTCTCTCTCTTTGTAGGTTGTCTTCTCTTTCTGATCAGGTAGTCTTGTCCTTTCTATCTTAGTTTTTTCAGGACAGTCTTTTGATGCCTAATACTGTTGCCGTATTGTTCGGCGCTAGCAGAGCCGCTCCACCTTGCATTGGGGGTGGATGTCACTTCTGCCCAGTTCTGTAACCTTCTCGTGCTTTGTTTCACCTCCAGCCTGCTCATGCGCTGCCTGAGCCATCCTGGTCCTTGGACAGGGTGCTCTCCTATCTTTCCTCTTCTCAGTTTGTGGTGGCCTCTTCGATTCAAGGTTATTTTTTCAAGGCTCTGTTTCTGTTGGCATTGGCCTCTGGGGGGTCGGGTTTTCTTTCCTCCGGCGCAGGGGTTTCTGCTCTTTCAGTCCTGGTGGTCGCTTTGTTTGGTTGCAGCCTTCTTCTTTTCTGGTGAAGAACAAGACAGATGCTTTCCAGAGGTGTCCTTGGGTCATTGATGCTTGATTGGTCAGGCCATGTGTGCATCATATGTTGTGTGTGGTTGTGGCTCTTCGCTGTTATCTGAGCGCTTCACCTTCGGTGGCTGGGGATGCACTTTGGGTTGATCCAGTTTTCCTCGTTCCCTTTTTCAGGGCTCGGGTCTTCCAGGTTGTCCGCAGGGTTATTAAGACTAGCCAGCCTGCGGTCCATCCTCGTGCCCATGACGTTAGAAAGTTTCCTGCATTGGCTGCCATGTTTGGCAACATGTCCTGGGCAGATATTTAGGCATAGGGATGTTGGAGGTCAAACAGGGTCCTGGCTGCCCATTATTTGGTCCCGTTCCTGCTCCTGGGCGTTCCTGTGTTTCTTTGGGTCGCAGGTTGCAGCCAGTTGTCCCGACTTTGCATTGAGGAGTGTGTCGCGGCCGCCTCCTAGAAAAGTCCCTCTTTTCCTTCTCTTTGGTTATGTAGCTTCAGGAAGCCAAAGTGGCTTCCCCCACAGAACCAGCGTTGAATGTAATGAAACACCATTTTCTGAGTGAGCCCCGAAGGCTCCCTGGCAACCCTCTCTCCCTCTGGTCGGCGGCTTTCGTGTTGTTTGATGCTTAGCTTCTGAACTGGAGTGCTAGGTGTCCGGGGCTCCCCCTTTTCCCCTCTCAGGGAGGGGAAAACTGGGCAGATGAGTGGCACAACGGTGGAGTGTGATATTTGCTAGTTTCCTTGGGATTGGAGGGAGTTCTGCCTCTCTGTTCTGTCTTTGTACTTTTCTTTCCATTTGGGGTTTGTTTTGTTATGCCTACCTTTCTGGGTGCCTAACCCAAAAAGGGGTTAAACCCCCCAACCACAGGAGTTTTCCAGGGCCATTGCTCCCTGCAACCTCTCTTAGTGGGCCAGGTTTTGGCTCGTGGTCCCCGGTAGGGTAAACTTTCAGTCTCCGTGGTGTAGTGGTAAGACACTCGCCTGGCGTTACGCGAGCGCTTTGTCATGGGTTCGTATCCTGGCCGGGGAGGATAATACTGGGTGCAAATCCTTAACTGTAGCCTCTGTTTAACTCAACAGTAAAATGGGTACTTAGTTGTAACAACAATTCTTTGTGGGGGTCGTATTCCAGGGACCTGCTTGAAACGCTACGCGTACTAGTGGTTGTACAAGAATGTAACAACTCTTGTATATATCTCAAAGAAAAAAAATCCATAAACTAATGCCCAGTCTAATTTATCACACATTAACCTGATAGCTCCAGGGAGCCTCTTGGGCTCACCCAGAAAATGGCATTTCATTACAAATAATGGTGTTTTTTTTCAAATAATAGTGAAAATATTCACCAGCAGAGCAATTATTGTTTTGAGTGTTAAGAAGATAGTCAATGTGATATCTGGATGGTCACAATACTTTGGCTGGTCCCCTGATAAGGTATTCATGCACTGTGCTAAAAAAAATTTACTGTCAGCATACAGATGTTATTTTAGCATCATTGAATGCTAAAGTGTTCATTTTCTGGGCTACTCCCTCAGTAACTTCCCCATGTTTTGCACTGGTCATTACTGGACAGGCATATTAGCCCCAGAAATTCTAAGACACACACTTCCAACTATGGTCGGAGGCTTGTCCACTTTTTCCCTCTGAGGCAAGGAGCATATGGGGGACCAGAGATCTACTCATTACTGGGTTCTACAAAAATTTGCTCTGCTGAGTCAATCACTCTCTTTGGAGGGAGTGTGATGAAACCTCCAGCTTTAGAGGAAGAAGTGTTGTTGATGGTATCGAGGATTCTGCTCTGCCACTAACACCCTGATAATTTCCTAAGTCATATACAAATGATTCAGAATGTTCCACCACATATTTATGGTGAAAAAAGAATGATAGTCTTTGTGTATGAAATATTTGAGACAAAAGTATATGTTGGACTCATGATGTCACAGTGTCTGCCAGCTCCCTTGGAGGCACACAGCTGGGAGGCTTGGTTGTCCCTGCGCATTCATAGTGAGCAGTTGTGTTGCGTGTCTCACTCTGGCAACTTGCCGAGTTTTATCTTAGGCAAGGTGAAATAAAACCCTCGCCACCCCTCCTATAGTCATGAGGGACTTAGAACTGCGTTAGGTCATTCTTATCCTTCTGTTTCTGACCATTCCAATGCCAGCAGTACACATTATTGTTGCTTCTCCAGCTAGAATTCTGCATTAAAGGCTTTATCATAATCCCATGGACATAGCCATGTGATTATGCCATTCTGCCATTCCCCACTGGCAGATCAACCAAGAACAGAACCAGTTGTTTAGACCTACCTTTCATCTCATGCTGAATAAGACTATGTTTGCAATGGCATGGTTTAACAGAAGTGTAAATATAATCTAGCATTCTAGCCCATCTCAATAACTGGCCGTTTTGGGCCTCAACAGTTTAGTGTCCTGACCCCTATTCTATTCTTCCCAGTTGGAGTGAGGGGGAGTTCTGTTTGAGTGGCTCATGAATGAGGTGGCTGGCTGGTGGGGGATACCACATGGCTGTGACAGTTGGATGCATCATGAGTGTTTATCCCATGGAAATGGACATTTGCCTTGTTTTCATTGGGGTTTCTTATTTCCTTCAAGAAGATGCTTATTTCGATGTGCTTATACTTTCTGGTTGATTTTACTCAGTTTTGGGTTGATCTCTATTCACCAAGATCCCATAACCTCACAGAGGAAACTAGATTCTAGTCCTACCTCATAGTTGACTTGCAACAGTCTCAGAGGCTTGTTGCAATTCCTCAAGGCTTGATAGCCCCACCCAGTGCTATAGCTATAGAAAGCTACAGAGGGAATCCACCAGAAAAGGGCATTTTACTACATTAAACACTTGATTTTTATTTCCAGGATAGATGATTTTGCTGATCAACTGCTTGCAGGTTCTAGCCAGCAGTCTTTACGAGACCAAGCTGACCGTAAAGCTAATGCTGCAAGATTGTTACGAGACTTGGCTTTCAAGCCACAGGCATCATATTTGGGGAAAACCTCACATGCTGTCATTGATCGCATTAGCACTGAAGCAGAAGAGCGAGGTGATGACATCTTGAGTGGCATACTAGAGAATCAAAGCATTGCTTTCACGTCCTCAAAGAAACTTACTTTAACCAATGATAGGAAGTTAAAAAAGCAAGAAGGAATGGAAACTGACTCGAGTAATGTGTTTCAAGAAAAAAATCTTATGTCATTACCTTTGCCTTCACATAAACCTCCATCCCAGACATTAAATGAAACAAATGAAACCATAGAAAAGGATCCAAAAAGTTGTAGTTCGTCCAGTACTAATAGCCAATGCCGTCCAAGTTTTTCCAGTTCAAAAAGGCATTCTCCTTTTTATCCAAGGACTAGATCTAGATCACCACCTAACAGACCTCGGGTAGATAAAGCTCCATATCTGAGCTCTCACAGGTCTTCCCTTGCAGATAGAGAGAGATCGTCATTGAGGATGCCTTATTACCGAGATAAAAGTCCATCTCTACATAGTCATCAGTCTCCCCTTGATGATAAACGAAGGTCTCCTCCCAGAATGTCTTTCCAGCGGCAGTATATGCCACCACATAATAGGAGGGACAGAAAGTATAGTAACTCTCCTGATAAAAGGAGCTCTAGGGATCATCATAATGACAGATTTTCAGATAGGCATGAGAAACTAAGATACCAAGAAAGAAATTTACCTCGCAGAAGATCCAATTCATGGCAATGTGCTGTAGACAATACCACTGCAGCATATAAGTATTCAGATGAAGACTATTCATGTAGTGAATACAGTAAAGGAAACCACCGCTCAATGTATAGAGAGAATAAATCAAATTATGAATTCAGTTATTCACGAGGACCATCTGATAAGAGGCATGCTTCACCCAATGCAAAATATAACAGAAATGTTTACAGAGATCAGTCACCATATAGAAAAAACAGAACCTATAATAAAGAAGGTAACTTGCAACGATGGAATGATTCGTCTTCCAGGGGTCGAGGTTCATATGGCAAAAGAGAGGGGGAGAATTTGGGTCATAGATCATACAAGTCATGCCATACAAGATCCAGGTCAAGATCCAGGTCAAGATCCAGGTCAAGATCCAGGTCAAAAGAGGGCTCTAGTCACCATACAGCTCATAGTGAGAGAGAGAGAAAACCACGTTCACAGTGGGGCTATTCTTATTATAATTCAAAAGATGCTAATGAAAATGGTAAGAATGGTAGTGTAAATCACAACCTACACAGTGTACACAATCTTGATGTTCCATCTTTAAATGGTGAAATGAATGTTGATGTGAATACTAACCAACTAGTAAAAGGCTTGAATCTTGATTCTGTTCTTGCCACTTGTTCCGACACAGTACCTATTTGTTTATCCAATAAAAGCAAAGAAAATGCACATGTAAGTAAAAATATAGATAACGATGATCGTTGCGAGAGCAGAACTGGTAATCAGTATTTAGTGGTGACAGATAAGTGTGACATGCAGTGTATAGAACATAGCACAGTTGAAGTTGATGAGTGTGCCCAAAGAAGCCAAAGAGCAGTGTCTTCGAACAGTATCTTGTCCTCCATGAATAATGATCAGACATTGAGAAAAAACAGCCAAGAAACCTCTGTATCTAGTAAAGAAAATGTAAATCCGTCTTTTCACAAATCTGATAGTAGCCCAGTTGAAAAGACAAGTAACTGGAGACAAGATAATTGGAACAGTATACATTGTGAAGGTAAAGCAGCAACTGATGATGATAACTTTAAAATAAAAAATATCAAAAGTAAGAAAAGTAAAGCCTTATCCTCATTATTTGGGGATGACAGTTGTGATAATGAAACAATTAGTTATGAAACTGAGGTCCCCTGCAGAAAGAAGGAAGACAGTCATATAGCAAGAGAAAAAAATTCAAATTCTAAAAGTAGAGAAAGTGTATCCAAGAAGAGCTTAAATGCTGTGCATATTGACAGTATTAGCAGTGAAGGCAAAGGCTTAAGCCCTCCTTTGCTTCTTAAAGGTTGTGATACGTTAAAATATGAAGAGCACTTTCCCAAAGAGGAAATGGATGACACTACTCTACCTCAGACATTTTGTTCAGTGATTGAAAATGATAGCACTAACAAGTCAGTGGGAATTGGACGGAAGAGCAAGCATAATCATCAAGAGGTACATGTTAAGAGCATTGATTTGTTTTCTAACAGTAATCCTGCAGATAAAAGTAAAATTCAAGAAAGAAAACCTCATTTAGATCTTTATTCATTGTTTGGAGATAAGACTGAAACAGAAGGTGTGAAAAGTAAAAGTAAGTCAAGTAAGCATGGCACTGAATCTTCTCACTCTACTAAAAAGTCTGTTTCTAAAGACAGGAGACATAATCAAGGAAAAGATGCATCCTGTAAAGACAAGAGCCACAAAGACAAATATGAAGGTAGTGAAGATTCTTACAAAAATGATAGTAATATGTCTGAGGATAATGATTTCATGACAAGTCATTCTCAACATCTTGTTTTGGACAGCAAAGACAAGAGCCACAAAGATCACAAAGATAAGCATAAAGGTAATACATCAAGTGAAGGGTCTGACAGAACTGAATATAGTAAGTCTGGGGATAAGGATTTAATAAGAAATCATCCTCAACCTCTTGCCATGGGCAGTAGTAAGAGCAAAGAGTCGCACACTAATGTTGTTGCGAAGAAACATGCTAGTTTAGAAGTCAACGTTCCCCAAATGGAAAATGCTAAGTTAATAGAAGCTAAGTTTAAACAAAATTGGCTTTTAGGCTCAAAATCACCACATGACAAAGCTAAAGGGAAAAATTTTCCATTAGAGGCAGCCGCAGATGATGAGGGAACTGTGAAAAAAGGCCACAGCATGGTCTTAGATTTATTTGGGGATATAACAGACATCTGTAGTACCGATTCGTCTGATACTGGCATGAAAAAAGTTGAACAACAGGAAAAATTTGGACTTGAGGGTAAAAATGATTGGATGGAGTGTATAAAGAGTTTTGGAAAGTTTTATAAAGAATACGGTGACATTGGGAACGTGGCAAAGAAATGTAAACAAATCCAAGAAGAGAAACCAAAACACCAGATATCAGAGTATGATGTGGTACAGAATGAAAAGAAAAATTATAAAAGAAGTGGCTTGGCAGATATAAAAATAAATCATGAATTCAAGATGCAAAAAAATCAAGAAATAGCTGTTACAAAAGATACAGGTGAGTCAGATGTTCCAGCATTGTTGTCTAAAATTATATGTACAGTTTTAGGCTATATAAGGATTATTGCCATGTTTAGAAACTAGAATCCATTGTCTTAAGAATTCATCCTTGGGTATCGATTCAGCAGGGATATCATATGGTTTCATGTTAATTTATTATTTCTTCCTGGAGGTTTCCATTTAAAATCTCTAAAATGTCTCATCTTATTGATTTGAAACTAAATATATTTATGTATGATCATAAAACCTGTTAGTTTGGGATAATAAGCCATCATGTGCCATTTTCTTGCATATCAGACATATATCTTTTTGGGAGCTAGATCAGTTATATCTGCATGTGTGTAGTGTAACCAGTGTCGGTTGTGAATTTCAATCCTTGCTTGAATCTCCTTCCCACTCAGCTGGTTTTGATTTTCCTTCTCAGTTGTGGGCTCATTTACTTAAATGTAGGTGCCAGCATTTTCCCCTACATTTACTTGAATACTTTTCTTTGCTACTCTTGTTTTCTGGGGGGAAGCCCCGTCGGCTCCCTGGAGCTATCCAGGCTGAATGGATATGTATAACTTTCTGGCATTAGTCAAAGTTCTTGCCTACCGGGGACCACGAGCCAGAACCTGGCCCCCTCAGAGAGGCACGAGAATCAATGCCTGGGTACGTTGTCCTCTTGCTGGGTTTTTCTTTTGTTTTTGGTTTTACCTGGTGGGGGGGGTCTGCCTTTATGGTCCCCCTTTGCTGTTCTCTGGGTATGTATGTATGTACAGTATATATGTGTGTGTGTGTGTAATTACCTAAGTGTAGTTACAAGATGAGAGCTACGCTCGTGGTGTCCCGTCTTCCCACACATGTGTGTAATTACCTAAGTGTAGTTACAGGATGAGAGCTACGCTCGTAGTGTCCCGTCTTCTCAGCACTCTTTGTCATATAACGCTTTGAAACTACTGACGGTCTTGGCCTCCACCACCTTCTCACCTAACTTGTTCCAACCGTCTACCACTCTGTTTGCGGAAGTGAATTTTCTTATATTTCTTCGGCATCTGTGTTTAGCTAGTTTAAATCTATGACCTTGTTCTTGAAGTTCCGGGTCTCGGGAAATCTTCCCTATCAATTTTATCAATTCCTGTTACTATTTTGTACGTAGTGATCATATCACCTCTTTTTCTTCTGTCTTCTAGTTATAGCATGTTTAATGCCTCTAACCTCTCCTCGTAGCTTTTGCCCTTCAATTCTGGGAGCCACTTAGTAGCATGTCTTTGCACCTTTTCCAGTTTGTTGATGTGCTTCTTAAGATATCTTAAGGCACCACACAACCGCTGCATATTCTAACTTTGGCCTAACAAAAGTCGTGAACAATTTCTTTAGTATATCACCATCCAAGTATTTAAAAGCAATTCTGAAGTTAGAAAGCGTGGCATAGGCTCCTCGCACAACGTTCTTTATGTGGTTCTCAGGTGATAGTTTTCTATCTAGAACCACCCCTAGATCTCTTTCTTTATCAGAATTCTTTAAACATTTCTCACATAATATATAGGTTGTGTGGGGTCTATGTTCTCCTATTCCACATTCCATAACATGGCATTTATTAACATTAAATTCAATTTGCCAAGTGTTGCTCCATATACTTATTTTGTCCAGGTCATCATGAAGGGCATGACAATAATCTAAGTTTCTTATCCTTCCTATTATCTTAGCATCATCAGCAAACATGTTCATATAATTCTGTATACCAACTGGTAGATCATTTATGTAGACAATAACCATCACTGATGCAAGAACTGAACCCTGTGGTACTCCACTTGTGACATTTCTCCAGTCTGATACATTGCCTCTGATTACTGCCCTTATTTTTCTATCAGTCAGAAAATTTTTCATCCGTGTTAGAAGCCTGTCACCCCTCCAATATTTTCTAGTTTCCAGAACAACCTCTTATGTGGAACTCTGTCGAAAGCCTTTTTTAGATCCAGATAGATGCAGTCAACCCAACCATCTCTTTCCTGTAATATCTCTGTGGCTCGATCATAGAAACTGAGTAAATTCGATACACAGTATCTACCAGATCGAAAACCATACTGTCTGTCTGATATTACATAATTTCTCTCCAGGTGTTCTACCCATTTAGTTTTGATTAGTTTTTCCAATACTTTCACTATTACACTTGTCAATGATATAGGTTTATAATTGAGGGGGTCTTCCCTGCTGCCACTTTTGTAGATTGGAACTATGTTAGCCTGTTTCCACACATCTGCTATGATTCCTGTACACAGGGATGCCTGAAAGATCAAAAGAAAGAAAGAAAAGTGTGTGTGTATATATATATATATATATATATATATATATATATATATATATATATATATATATATATATATATATATATATATATCTATATATATATATATATATATATCTATATATATATATATATATATATATATATATATATATATATATATATATATATATATATATATATTATATGTCGTACCTAGTAGCCAGAACGCACTTCTCAGCCTACTATGCAAGGCCCGATTTGCCTAATAAGCCAAGTTTCATGAATTAATTGTTTTTCGACTACCTAACCTACCTAACCTAACCCAACCTAACTTTTTCAGCTACCTAACCTAACCTAACCTAACCTATAAAGATAGGTTAGGTTAGGTTAGGTAGGGTTGGTTAGGTTCGGTCATATATCTATGTTAATTTTAACTCCAATAAAAAAAAATTGACCTCATACATAATGAAATGGGTAGCTTTATCATTTCATAAGAAAAAAATTAGAGAAAACATATTAATTCAGGAAAACTTGGCTTATTAGGCAAATCGGGCCTTGCATAGTAGGCTGAGAAGTGCATTCTGGCTACTAGGTACAACATATATATAATATATATATATATATATATATATATATATATATATATATATATATATATATATATATATATATATATATATATATATATATATATATATATATATATATATATATATATATATATATATATATATATATATATATATATATATATATATATATATATATATATATATATATATATATATATATATGTCGTACCTAGTAGCCAGAACGCACTTGTCAGCCTACTATGCAAGGCCCGATTTGCCTAATAAGCCAAGTTTTCATGAAATAATTGTTTTTCGACAACCTAACCTCCCTAACCTAACCTAACCTAACTTTTTCGGCTACCTAACCCAACCTAACGAATAAAGATAGGTTAGGTTAGGTTAGGTAGGGTTGGATAGGTTCGGTCCGATATCTACGTTAATTTTAACGCCAATAAAAAAAACTGACCTCATACATAATGAAATGGGTAGCTTTATCATTTCATAAGAAAAAAATTAGAGAAAAAATATTAATTCATGAAAACTTGGCTTATTAGGCAAATCGAGCCTTACATAGTAGGCTGAGAAGTGCGTTCTGGCTACTAGGTACGACATATATATATATATATATATATATATATATATATATATATATATATATATATATATATATATATATATATATATATATATATATATATATATATATATATATATATATATATATATATATATATATATATATATATATATATATATATATATTATTGTCCACAGATATTAACACCAAGTAACATACCCAGCACTTCCAAAAATTCGATAACATTTTTCTTATTTGTCAACATACAAGGCAACATACTGAGGGGATTAGATAGGTGGAAAAGAATTGGCTCTTCAGATAGAGAGAAAGCAGGACAGGAGGACACAGGTGGAAGCTGGAAATGCAAATGAGCTAAAGGAACATATGGAGGTACTCATACCCTGTACAGGTAGTTAACAAGTGAAATGCTCTAAAGAGGTTGTTGAAGCCACCTCCATCCACAACTTTAAGGCCAGATTCTACAAATAATTTGAATGTCATAATAGTTAAATTGAAATGCAGCAGGTGCAAAGGTAGTAGGTGGGGGCATAAAGAGCTAGATCTCGCTTCTCCATAGATACGCCATAGGTAAGTACATCCAGGTTAAACATGTTGAGGTATTCATCAGGCTGCTTGTGTCCTGTATACAGATATGTATTTTAATAATTCTGAAGTCCTGCATGTAGACTGTCATAGTAGATATTTTGGGGGCAGTTTTTATTTTGTTACCTGGTGTCATTTAGATGTCTTGTGTATTTATTATTATTAATATTAAGGTATACATTTTATGATAAAAATGGATTCATTGTACTCCTAGATCTTTAAAACATAAGTATAGACGGACAAAGAGTTACAATAATGTGGCTGAAATATGTTGACCAAACCACACACTAGAGAGTGAAGTGAAGACAATGTTTCGGCTGTCTTAGACTATTCTCACAGTTGACTTGAGAGTGGTCCAGGACGGACCGAAACGTTGTCGTCCCTTCACTTTTTAGTGTGTAATTACCTAAGTGTAATTTCCTAAGTGTAGTACAGGATGAGAGCTATGTTCGTGGTGTCCCGTCTTCCCAGCACTCTGTCATATAACGCTTTGAAACTACTGACGGTCTTGGCCTCCACCACCTCACCTAACTGTGTGGTTTGGTCAACATGAGTATAGACACCATTTTCATGATTCTATTTAGGACAATTCTGATGATATATTATAAAGCCCTTTTTCATTCATGGGGGCAATAAAACTGGTCATTACTCATAGTAGTTAATTAATAATGAGTCTAATACATTTTATGAAAGTTATGAACATATAAAAGTTTTATGTTGTGCTTCCAGTTAGTACAAATATCTGTTATAGCCCCTGGACTAACTTGCCTGTACGGCCAGTAAAAGAACAATTTCCTGTTGTTTTAGTGTATAGTATCTTCAAGAATTTTTTTTATATTTATCAATAATTCTTTTCCATTGATAGAAAAATTGGATTGTCTCAAGCCTATAGAAACCAAATCTAGTACACTTGCCTCGTCCTCCAAGCAAAAGGCTGCTCCAGGAGACACCAAAAGAGATGACTTACGGCCAAAGGTCAGTTTGGAATGTTTTCATATTTAATTTTAACTTTAGTAAAGCTTTCCATATTTTTTTTTTATCTTTTCAGTCAATTTGTTACATAAAAAAAATATAAATATAATATATATATATATATATATATATATATATATATATATATATATATATATATATATATATGTCGTACCTAATAGCCAGAACGCACTTCTCAGCCTACTATTCAAGGCCCGATTTGCCTAATAAGCCAAGTTTTCATGAATTAATGTTTTTTCGTCTACCTAACCTACCTAACCTAACCTAACCTAGCTTTTTTGGCTACCTAACCTAACCTTACCTATAAATATAGGTTAGGTTAGGTTAGGTAGGGTTGGTTAGGTTCGGTCATATATCTACGTTAATTTTAACTCCAATAAAAAAAAATTGACCTCATACATAGAGAAAAGGGTTGCTTTATCATTTCATGAGAAAAAAATTATAGTAAATATATTAATTCAGGAAAACTTGGCTTATCAGGCAAATCGGGCCTTGAATAGTAGGCTGAGAAGTGAGTTCTGGCTACTAGGTACGACATATATATATATATATATATATATATATATATATATATATATATATATATATATATATATATATATATATATATATATATATATATATATATATATATATATATATATATATATATATATATATATATATATATAAATAAATAAAACTGAAAACTTGCACCCCAGAAGTGACTCGAACCCATACTGCCAGGAGCAACAATGCAACTGGTGTGTACAGGACACCTTAATCCACTCGACCATCACGACCGGTCAAAAGCTGATGGTAGCCGAGGCTATTTTGCCCATCAGCCCGTTGGCACTCTGATGGTAATCTTGGGCATAGTATTTTATCAAATCACCTCATTCTTTGGGGCACACGTGAGGAACACAAATGCGAACAAGCCTGAATGGTTCCCAGGACTATATGCAACTGAAAACTCGAACCCATACTGCCAGGAGCAACAATACAACTGGTGTGTACAGGACACTTTAATCCACTCGACCATCACGACCAGTCAAAAGTCACTGGCCCCTTCGGTTCAGGATTGTTTTTCTAAGGCCCTTCTCTTGTTGGCATTGGACTCTGGGGGTTGGGTCGGGGAGCTTCATGCTCTCCTTCGGCGCAGGGGCTTTTTTTGCTCTTTTACTCTTGGTGATACGTTTGTTCGTTTGCAGCCGTCTCCTTTTTTTCTGGCGAAGAATGAGACTGCTGCTTTCCGGAGGGGACCTTAGGTTGTTGATGTTTGGTTGGTCAGGCCGAGGGGTTCATCATGTGTTGTGTCCGGTTGCGGTGCTCCACCGTTATTTGTTCGCCACGGCCTCGGTGGCCGGGGACGCGCTTTGTGTTGATCCGGTTTCCCTCCATGATCCAGTTTCGGGTGCCCTGCTTGCGTCAGTTGGGTGTTCGGGTTCTGGCGCACCACCACGGCTAGCTGGTTTGGGCTCTCAGCCAATCTGTGTGTCTGCTCGCCGAGTTCGAGATCTTGGTGAACTGGAGAAAATCCCATCTGGTTCCCTCGCAGGTTCGGTCTTGGCTGGGTCTTGTGTGGGACACTTGGACTGCTTCCTTGTCTCTGCCTCCGGAGGCTCTGCTTCGCCTGTGTTCCCACATTCGTCTGTTCCTGAGGGGCTCCCGGGTCACGAGGCAGTTGCTCGAGGGTTTGTGCGGGAGCCTAAACTTTGCCATGATGGTCTTCCAGCCGGGACAGGTGTGGCTTCGTCGGCTGTTCTGGTTCATTCGGGGATGTCACTTCTGCTTCTCATGACATCCGGGTTCGGCCTCTGGGGGTTTTGTGCCAATTGCTGCATCACCGGCTTCCTCTTCGGGTTTTTCAGGGTTCAGTGCCTTGGCGCCTACCCGAGCCCTCGCTTGATGTATTTACAGACTCATCGTCTCTCGGCTGAGGTTTTGTGATCCAGGCCGGCCAGGGTCAGTAGGGGTCTGTCTTTCTGTCGGGCTCACAGCATGGTACGGGAGTTCGTGGCGATGTGGATGTTGCTCCGGGGGATTTGGGTCGCTCGCGGATCGACGATCAGGCTCCATTTGGACTGTTTCATGGTAGTTTGTCTGAACCGTGGGGGTTCCCTGCAGTCCTTGGCTCTTTGGGGGTTCCCTGCAGTCCTTGGCTCTTTGGGGGTTCCCTGCAGTCCTTGGCTCTTTGGGGGCAGTCGCTTCAAGTGACTCGTCTGCTGAGTTCTCGGGGTTTGGATCTCCTGGTGGTTCACGTTTGGGGGTGTCCGTCTTGGCAGGTAGCCTGTCCTGGTTCATTCCCCTGTCCATGGAATAGATGGTTGACGCCAGCCTGTTCAGTTCGCTCTGCCAGACTTTCGGGCCCCCGGAAGTGGATCTCTTCGCGTCAGCGTGGTCGAGGCATCTCTTGGTACATGTGGCACCCTTCCCCAACTGCGAGTCCGCTGGGGTTGACGCTTTTCGGCAGGACTGGGTGAGGTGGGGTTTTCTGTACCGCTTTTTCCCACTTCAGCTGTTACTCCGGGTCCTAGCTCGCTTGGAGACTTACCAGGGGAGAGTCGTCCTTTTGGCTCCTTGGTGGCCTGCCCAGCTTTTGTTTCAGGCGCTGCTTGCTCGGTGTCCGAACCCGAGGGTCTTCCTGTGGCTCCGCCTCTTTCAACAGATCGGTCCAGCCCGGTACGAGGCTGATTTGTTCTTCTCCTCGAGTCTTCGCGTCTGGAGTTTCCGACTCAAGTTCATCATCACTTGTATGGCGCAGGTGGCTTCTTTGTTGGTTTCCCACCTACGTGCTTCATCTCGGTAGCAGAATAAAGTTTCCTGGCGGTCCTTCCGGTTTTTCCTATCACTGCATAGGTGTTCTTCGGTCTCTGATAGGGTTGTTTTGTCCTTCCTTTCATGGTTGTTCCAGGACTGCCATTAGATGCCGAATACTGTCGCCTCGTATCGTTCGAGGGGGTTGGGTCGGGGCGGGAACGCAAGCTGGAGCGGCGACCAGGCGGAGCCACTCCATCTTGCGTTCGGTGTTGATGTTACTTCTGCCCTATTTTGCAAGCTGTCTCATGCGTTGTTTCGCCTCCGACCTGCTCATGTTCCTCCTGAGCCATGCTGGTCTTTGGACCAGGTGCTCTTCATTTCTCTCTTTTCCTTGGTTTGTGGTGGCCCCTTCAATTCAGGATTGGTTTTCTAAGGCTCTTTTTTTTTTTTTTTCCTGTTGGCATTGCCCTCTGGGAGTCAGGTCGGGGAGCTTCATGCTCTCCTCCGACACAGAGGTTTCTGCTCCTTCAGTCCTGGTGGTAGGTTTGTTCGGTTGCAGCATCTCCTTCTTTTCTGGCGAAGAATGAGACGGCTGCTTCCCGGAGGGGTATTTAGGTTGTTGCCTGGTTGGTCAGGCTGGGAGTGCATCATGTGAAATTCATGTGGATTCCATCTCATGTTGGAATAGTGCTCAACGAAGTGGCAGATGACTTGGCCAAACATGCCACATCAAAACCACAAGTTGACATTGAATGTGAATTCACAATGAGACAAATAAGAAGCAAAATCAGAAATATTCAGACACAGGCAGAAGTGGCGAGGAGAGGTGTAATGTATGAGAGAAGTCAAACCATGCAACACTACATGTATGTGAGTCAAAACACCCATTTCACTTATGGTAAAAGGAGAAATGCTTGGAGTGACTCTGTGCACATGCGGCTCAGGCTTGGGTACAAATATTACTGGGAATATGGGATAGGTGTTCATGATAATGACACGAAGTGTAAACTATGTGGTATGTTAAGGTCTCACACTCTTGCCCATTATATTCTTGATTAATGTATATAGAAACACTGAGATAAGGACTGTTCCTGAACAGCTAGCCTGGATGTGTCACAACGGAAAGGTTGATGATATTCTTGAGAGATATAAGAATTTTGCACCAAGACTGTAATTTTTTGTTGAATTATCTGCATGTCTCTTGCAAATTGTCTATACAGTATACCTAGGTCATAAAAGTATTTGTGTACGTCTGATACCATACTACTTGTGTAAAGGAGGAAATGTAGATGTTTATCTCTCAGAATGTTTGGTAATATGTTTATTGTTTGTGATGTGTGTATATGTATGTATTAACACGATGTACTGAATGGGGGTGAGAATAGCTTGAGCTACCTCATCCCTTTGTGTGTATTTTACCTCAATAAACTTATTTCAATTCAATTTCAATTTCAATGTGTTGCATCTGGTTGCAGCTCTCCCCCTTTATTTGCGTGCCACGGCTTCGGTGGAGGGGATGCTCTGTGGGTTGACCCAGTTTTCCTCCTTCCTGTTTCCCGGGCTTGTTTCTCAGGTAGTCTGCAGGGTTATTATTAAGTCTATCCCCGTGCCCACTACATTCGTAAGTTTGCTGCCTTGGCTGCTGTCTTTGGCAGCATGTCTTGGGTTGACATTCTGGCATGGAGTTTTTGGCGATCAAACAGGGTCCTGGCTGCATGCTACCGCGTGAATGTTCCTGGACCTAGTCGGGCCTGAGTTGCCTTGGGTCGGCGGTTGCAGCCAGTTGTCTCAACTTCGTGTTGAGTGACGACTGACCGTCTCCTGGGTAAGTTCCTGTTTTTCCTTGTTGGGTAGAATAGCAGATCACTGGCTCCTCAGAGCCAGCGGGGCTCCCCCCAGAAAACCAGTGTTGAATGTAATAAAAAGGCCATTTTCTGGGTGAGTCCCGGGGGCTCCCTGGCATCCCTCCCTTCCTCCAGTCGGCGGTGTTTTTCGTGTATTTTGACATCCGGCCAAAGAACTGGTAATTAGATCGCCAGCACGGAGGGTCTGGAACTCCCCCTTCCCCCTCACGAGGAGGGGGAAGTTGCACAAACAGCGGCGCGGCAACGTGATGACGTCATGCTAGTTTGCTAATTTTCGTTTGGGGAGTTCTGTCCACTTGTTTGGCTTTCAGTAGCAATAGTTTCACCAGAATAGGTGTTTGTTTTGGGATGCCTACCTTTTTGATTGTCAGACCTGGGCAATGGCAGACATAGAATGCACCCAACCACATGGGGGGGGGGGGTTCTATAAGCCATTGCTCCTCTTGTCTCTCTGAGGGAGCCAGGTTCTGGCTCGTGGTCCCCGGTAGGCAAGATCTCCATGCACATTCTCCATGATGCCAGAAAGTTATACATATCCATTCAGCCTGGATAGCTCCGGGGAGCCTTAGGGACTCACCCAGAGAATGGCATTTCATTACATTCAATCCTGGTTTTTTATTGAGATTTATCCTGTTTGTCTTTTGTTTGTTTTTATCAGGAATAAGCACATTGCTGCTTTTGCCTTAACATAAATATGGATTGTAACCAAACTTTCTTAATTGCAGCCACAGAAATCATCTTTAGAAGTGAAAGTAGTGGAGGAAGTTAAGAAATGGCTAGACCCTTACTATCGAGACAAGTCTGTGACTAAGGATGAGTATAAGCAGATTGTTGCAAAGTGTGTTAAGAAGGTATGTTTTTCCTTGATAATGATTATCTCTTAAGCTGTGTGGAATGCTACTATCTCTTTATTACAGATTATGGTATTTATTGCTACTAATGAGAATAGATTTGGAAATGTATGAGCCAACTGTTATAGAAATAAGTAATTTTCTGTGGGGAGCCCCTACGGCTCCCTGGAGCTTATCGGGCTAATGTATGTCATATTAGACCGGGACATTAGCTATGGAGTTCAGACCAACCAGGGACCAGCGCCAGAACCTGGACTCTTCAGAGAGGTTTCAGGGAGCAATGGCCCTGGAAAACCCCATTGTGGTTGGCGGTTTTCCTCATCTGCCATCGACTGGGGGGTTAGGCACCCAGAAAGGTAGGCATAACAAAACAAACCCCCATATGGTAAGAAACTAAAACAAAAAACCGAACAGTGAGGTAGGAACTCCCTACAATCCCAAGGAAACCAGCAAACAAGCAAACATCACACTTTACTGCCGTGCTGATTGTCGGCGCAGCCCTCCCCGCAAGCACTTACGAACGTGTACATCTTTCCTCAATCTTTGATGGCTTTGGTTACATTCAATAAACCATTTACAAGCATGAAAACTTCCCATTCAACTGTTGGTATTGTTATAAACATCCTCCTGGTGCTTCGGAGCTGTTTAATAATTAACTGTTTAATAATTGGAAACAAAGTCTCCAAAGATTGAGAAAAGATGTACAGGTTCGTAAGTGCTTGCATAAGTGCTTTTGTGAATCTAGCCCCTGGTCGCCCGTGCATGACTCGCCCAGACACGGTTGCGCAGGCCATTCAAGCACTGGGTGTTGCCACAAATATATATTCAATTATTTGTTCTATGTATTTTCAATGCAATTTGATTTGTTTTTTTATCGTATATGATGCATATTTGTGTCCTTTACAATATGTATTCAGTAGAACATTCATAATGTTGCATAGAGCTGTGATACATGTGTCAGTAATGTGTCCACAATAAATGTTTATTGTTGCAATATTATTTATTAAAAATTCACTAAAATTACAACATGTGCAGTTTCACACACTATTTACACAGTAACACACTGTATTACACACTCAGTACTTCGGAAGCGAGTAATAATCAACGAGGTAATCCATGGTGCACAGTGCGACTTCGTTCTCGTTGCACCAGGTGCAGATAAATTTTCGCTTCCTGTTTCTTCATTCTGTGTGCTTGCAAATAACTCTCTCATGTATTCCCTTGCCTTTAGTACTTGTAAGTTGTATGTAGCCAAGGTTGTAAAGCATAAGGTAGTATTGAAAGATTATAGGAAAAGATCAATTTGTAAGATAGTCTTGAAAAAAATCTCCTTTTATGGTCCCACACAGGAAGAGATTCAGCTTGCCTCAAAGATTGTCCATCATTCAGAAAGAGATTCAGCTAGCCTCAAAGAAAGTCCATCAGTCAGGAAGAGATTCAAGTATTCTTGAAAATATCTATGGAAAACACCATCATGGAAGCTGCTAACACTGTTCATCTATGCTACTTGTATCAGATGCATCATCACTGAACACAGAAAATGATTCATCTATGTATCATCAAAATAAATTGTAGATAGCATAGGATTGCAAGGGTGACACTCAGAGCTACAACTGGATACACTCGCTGTATCGTCCTCATAGGTGCTGTATCACTTGCATCCGACCTTTGTGTTAGGTCCTTAATGCACCTAGCTTCACCAATATTATGACCCTTATGTTCTTCAAACAATAAGGTTTGAATTTCACCAACAGAGCGTTATCTTTCAACACCGCGTCGGACTGGTGTTTGGGAGCCAGAGGCGCATGAACCACCCATGGTTGCTCACTCAGTACTAACCCAGCCAGCAGCCCTAGGGCATTCTGGGAATTTTTCAAAGATGGCTGCCTCTCACTGGAGGTCCCAAGAGTCCATTTCGTACACAACCAACCTCCCACACATATAGAATGGGTACAGAAAAATCAAAAAGGGTTTTCTTGGTTGGCACAGTTTTCTGCCGACCAAGAATACTTGGTTGGCACAGTTAAGTGGTTAATGTAATGAAACAGCATTTTCTGGGTAAGTCCCGGAGGCTTCTCGGCAACCCTCTCTCCCTCCCTCCCGGTCGGCGGTTTTTCGCGTATTTTGATATTTGATAACTGGGGTGTGGATCGCCGGCGCGGAGTCTGGGGTTCTCCTTTCCCCCTATCGGGGAGGGGGGAGCTGCGCAGACATGTGGAGCAGCTCGTGTGACATAATGCTTGTTTGCTCATTTTCATTTTGGGGGGTTCTATGTCCACTTGTTTGTCTATTTTTGTTATTTTTCACCAGAATAGGAGCTTGTTTTGGGGCACTTACCTTTCTGGGTGCCTGTCCCGGTCAATGGCAGATAAAAAATGCTCCAAAATCACATGTGCATTTCTATAGGCCATTGCTCCTCGTGCCTCTCTGACGGGGCCAGGCTCTGGCTCGTGGTCCCTGGTAGTCCTAGAACTCCACCCACATCGAGTTAGGGTATCCATATCAGCCTGGATAGCTCCAGGGAGCTTCCAGGACTCGCCCAAAAAATGGCGTTTCATTACATTCAACGCTGGTTTTTTAGGTCCAGATAGACACAGTTAACCCAACTGCCACTTTCCTTTAGTATCCCTGTGGCTCTAACCACCTCTTTCCTGTATTATCTCTGTGGCTCCATCATAAAAACTAGAGAGATTTGTTACACAGGATTTTCCTGTTCGAAAACCATAATGTCTGTCTGTTATTACTCTCTAGATGTTCAACTCATTTGGCTTTAACTATTGTTTCAGTGTTTTGACTACCACACTTGTTAATGATACGGGTCTCTAATTTAGAGATTCCTCTTGACTACCATTTTTATAGATTGGTAATATGTTTGCCTTTATACATATATCTGCTAAGATTCCTGTGCACAAGGATGTTCACCTAGTTGTCCTTGTGGGGATTGAATTTCAGACCTTGGATCTTGTCCCACCTCTCGACCTTGAATTGATTGGGTACAGGTTTCTGTTTGCTTTGCTTCTGTCATATCTACCTTTAACCCATGGATTAATCTTTTTTTCTCAGCCCTCATACAGCATTGCAATTTTTAATGTTGGAAAATTTCAAATATTTATGATTTTCTTCCTTTCTATTAATTAATAGTTTCAATTACAGATAACATGGATAATGTTATCAAACAAAATTATGTTCGAAATTAGAAATTCTCAATGTAATTGTTGCACAAATGTGGCAGCACTTATGCAGTCATTCATAAAGCAGTCATTCTGGTAACAGGATGATTTTGTCTTAAATTGCAATAATCTTTTAAAATCTTCTTTCTTAATATCTTTAATGCCTGATGGTGGTCCAATTTTTACTACAGGTTGTAACAGCAGAATGTGGAGACATAATTGAGAGTGAGAAAATGCGTGGCTTGGTAGATGGATATGTTGTACTGTACAAGCATCGTAGAACAAAGCTACAGCAGAGCTCTGCCAATTGATGCCGCCTCATAATTTGTGAAACTGCCGCAACAAGGAATTCTCTTCTGTGATTACCAAGTTTGAATGTGTGGCATTGTATATTTTCTTCATGTTGTATAAACACTACGATGTACAAAATATCCCAGTTTAATTTTGGCCTGTGCATTTGGTAAATATTGTTATTATAATTACAGAATGTGCCCCTTTTATGGAGTGATGCATTATTGTTTTACCCTCTTCTTTCCTACCGCTTCTTAATCTCCAAATGGTAACTAGAGAATTCCTCTTTGTATAAATTTGAAACTTTGAACATACTGTAGTATGCATGCTCAAAAAATACAAGCTTTGAATAAAAATTGGGCAGTGTAGGCAATGGAGGTTTTATTAGTTTGAGAATCTTTGTATCTGCATAATGTTGCAATGTGTGAATCAAATGTATTACACTCTCTCTTGAACACTCGGCAATGTGCTGGATAATCTCAGTTGAAGTTGCTGGCCCAGAAATTCGTTTGTTTAATTAAGGACATGGAGCCATGTTTTTTCAATCTTTTTCAAATGTGTCTTTTAATGCCATAAAAAGTCTAGAATTTTGACTACATTTTGTATTTTTTTGAAAGAAATCATGAAACACTTATGTACAGTTAGCCACGTGCTTTACGAACACCTGTTATACGATTGGGGTACCCAGCCACTTTGACCAGACAGTAGAGCGATGGTCTCACTTCATGCAGGTTGGCGTTCAATCCCGACTGTCCAAGTGGTACCATTCCTTCCCCCCTCCCCGTCCTATCCCAGATTCTTATCCTGACCTCTTCCAAGTACTATAAAGTTGTAATAGCTTGGCACTTTCCCCCTGATAATTAAACAAAAAATTATCCGATTGGGATTTGTTCGGATAAAAAAGTTTGGATAACTGGTGGGGCATACAGTCTGAATAAAAATGTGCAATAAAGATGGAACAGGTTTGCCCAGTGACTGTACACAGCACCATTTGAGCAGTGTTCATACATTGATGGATGCCTCAGAAACTTTCAACTTTGCTATGGCATTAGGTACATTAGCGTACATGGTACAAGGCAATCTGTTGAGGTTAGCCCTTCACCATTAATCTCCACCTTTTCTATCTAAAACCATGGAAGATTATAGTTGATGGAGCATTGTTAACAAGCTGATCAAACTATATATTGAAGAGTACAAACAAAACACTGTTGAATTTCTGCAACAAAATTATAAATTTTTCCTCCCTAACTTTTCAGAATGACTAACCACTTATCCGAACACAAGAAGTTATCCATTCGGTCTCAGTCCTGAGAGGATAAGGTAGCATCTGGCTGACTGTATACATATTTGTTTTTAAGTCATCATCGACTGGGGAGTTGCCAACTAGCATTTTTCTATTAAGAAAAAAATTAGATTAATTAAATACAAATAATTAAAAAAGTATAAAGCTAGTTTTATAATTAAAAGGGATATTGTTAAGGATTTATGATGCTGCATCTTTGGTTGGAGAATTCTAATTTAAAATCTCCATTTTGAGCTTTTACTTCCTGATCTCTAAAGGGTAAATATGAGGAAAGATCAATCTGAAAACATTTTCTAGTGTAAACATGGCTCTGTGCCCTTTTGCCAGTTTTCTTATAATAGGATTTTTTATATTTTGGGATACTTAACTTTAAAAATTAGTATAGAAGAATCACTTCACATTTGCATATACTGTACTGCCCTTATAGGAAGGTAGACTATATACTGTCTACATGTTCTTCCTTGTAATCCTCATAATGGATGTTTGCAGAAGTGATTACAGTATACCTGATTTGTTTATTACACAGTAATTTCAAACAGTCTTACATTATTTCTTAAAAATTTATATTATTTTTACATTGAATAATCTCTTGTACTTGCACTGTATAAATTTTGGTTTATTGGTTATAGCCTTATAATGGCAGTTGTAAGAAATAACATTTTATATTTTTTATTGGGATTGTTGGCATTTACTCCATAACAAGATATATTATACAATTCCTTAACATTTTATTCATCTATACCTAGAAGTTCCAAAAGCTGCAATACATACCAATTTCCTTATATTTAAATATTTTCTCATTAAAACTTAAATTTTATAATTACATTATAGTTTCACACGCAACACTCATACTTACCTCGCATTCACACAACAATCTATTATAATAAACAAATATCAATGAAGCAAGCTGGTTGGGCAGTAAACTTCCACTGGCTAGCAGACAGGTACTGTACTCCCTCCACCAAAGAAATAAATTTAATTTCTGACAGCTTTGATGATCCACCTGCTGAGGCAAACCGACTGTGACAATGAATGATGACTGATATACTGTCTGATGATTTGCTGTGCTTGTGATGACCATGTCTGCCAACTAATGATTTAAAAATAGAGACACTGTCAGTTATTGTTTCTAAGAGGGCCCCTCAGCTCCCTGGGCTATACACTGCTACTCAACCATGATTTAAGAAGATGCACCAGGTCTCCAAGTCCCACCCTTGCTCACTTTGAGCCAGGATCAAGATCTTATTTTGTAAGAGGTGAGGAGGAATTTAGGAATCATAAATCATCCCTACATTAAGAAAAAACTGACCAGATAGCACAAGTTTTTTGTTTTTTTTATCACAAGAGTTCTTATATTCTTGTACAGCCACTAGCATGCATAGCATTTCGGGCAGGTCCTTAGTCCTAATTTTCCCCGGAATACTACCTGCCAAATCATTTAACCCCTTAACTGCGTGGCCTCCAAATATGACACCCCCCAGTGCGCAGGAAATAAAATCTCTGGAAAAAATTCTTTTCTCTTTTGAAAGTGTCAAAACCCCTTCCCTGAGTATGGGTATAGTAACAGAAAGTCGAAATTGTACGTACTTTGGCTGCTATGGGGTCCATAAGTTCGTAAGTGACATCATTTCCTGGTCGCCCGTGGCGTACGCCCCCGGGGCTGCTAGGGCGCTTGGGGCAGGATGCGCGAGTTGCCATGAATATATTTTTGTTCATTTTCTGCACACATGTTCCAAATACATTTTATGTGCTTTTACGTGCCAATCCTATGTATAATGAACACGTACACTATATTATGGTAGTAGAACATCAAGTACTGTCCAAAGACACTGTGTTACGTGCATAACACATGTGTACACATATCCGGCACATATTTCCATTGTATCATGCTAATGTATGTATATATACAGTCTATTTACACACTATACACTATCACACACTATATACATTCACCATCAACACACTCAGAACTCCGCGAGTGTCAGCTGCCACACCCTCACTCCTCCAACATCCTGTCTCTCCCATACTCCTCAAGCATCTTACTCGCCAACATTGCTCCTTCCACCATACTGTTATTGTTTGTATTACATTATTTACGCATGTTATGTATACCTATCTACATGTTTTATTCACCAGAACTATGCAAGTAAGCCGGTATTGTGTCCAAACTTTACAGTAGCCACCATACACTGCATGAGAAATCACACAGCAGCCAGCAGATGATGCTACGATTACATCGCCTCCCTCACCAAAATAGCTCCACCCAACATACTCCTGTTGCTGTTACTACACTATATACACACATTGTATATACCCATGAATAAATGTGTTAACCATAGTGAACTACTAAGCTAGTATGATAAGCAAAACAAGAGTGGCTGCCACACACAGTGAGGCTACCTCGATTCTCTCCCTCACTCCCTCACCACCATTCCTCCTCCCACAATACTATGCACATGACTGTGTGATACACAGTCATTATCACACTCAGGCTCTTCTATAATACCATCATGGCTAAATAATACAAGTTATATATATGTTTTGACATTATTTGGTGATGCTGTGGTCACAAGCTGAACAGCAGTGCTGTGAGCTCATGCTGCGTGTGCCGGCCTTGGTTGCTCACTGAGTACTGAGGCTCTCACACCCGGGAATGTGGCCCAAATTGCTTTGTTTTTCTTTCTCTTTCATCATCGTGTTTTTATGCCACCCATATTTTATGTGCCATAGCTTTGTATTTCACTCAGATTTTAAGTCCTGGGGGATTTTAAAGACAGTGTTTCCAGTGGTTTCCAGTCTATTTTACCCTTGCCACATCCCCACTGTGTGCTCAGTGGATGTCTCATGGGCTGTGTCTTATAATTTACTGGGTTGCTGTGGTGGGGGCTAGTGTGCCCTGTCATTCCTGGGCTTGTGTCCTATGGTTTCTGGGCTTGTGTGCTCTGTGCTTCCTGAGCTTGTATGCCTTGTCCTTCCCAGGCTTGTGTGTGTCCTGTGGCTCCAAGGTTTGTGTGCCCTGTGGTTCCTGGGCATGTGTGTGCGCCCTGTGGTTCCTGGGCGTGTGTGTGTGTGCCCTGTGGTTCCTGGGCATGTGTGTGTGCCCTGTGGTTCCTGGGCGTGTGTGTGTGTGCCCTGTGGTTCCTGGGCGTGTGTGTGTGTGCCCTGTGGTTCCTGGGCTTGTGTTTCCTGTGGTTCCTGAGCTTGTGTGTCCTTTTGTGAGGTTTCCGGTGTTCACACACAAGTCTAGCCCTACGTTGGGCGCCAGAATGTGGGGAAACTCGGATTTTTCCTCTACCATAAACCGACACATGAAGAGCTCTTAGCTCCCAGCCTGGTGCCAGAATGTGACAGTTACTTTATGAAGGAGGGGTTGACTGAGTAAACAACAACCCAACCCGATAGGTGAGAGAAAATACCGAGGTCCAACTAATTGAACCTCCAGTCACTGAGTCGCTAGCTCCTCAACTTAATAAATCAATCTAGAGGGTAACCGAGAGGTCCTCACACCAAATTTAGTGTTTGAAGCTGTGGGCTTGATCCCGAGCTTAGACCAGTTAAATTCAAGAACACAGATGTTCTTGTTGTGGAACACAAAATAACAGGGCAGTACAGTACTCATAAAAGGTTATTGACGAAAAGACACTGAAACGATCGACAATACTGTATATTCAACAAACTTAATAATACACGGTAATTTACGTCACATTACATTAATTCCAGAGTGTCACTCCAACAGCTAAGCAATACCAGTGACAGCTGGACGCGGTCCTACCATTCTGACTGGCAACCACGAGACCTCGGTTTCTCTACCCTCTTGCATGGGCAAAAGGAACAAAGTGAACTGACTGAACACCAGTGAACACTGACTCAACTGCACATGCCAGTTGCAGTGGCAATCAACAATGATGGTAATACTCAACAACAACAAAACAGCTTCTCACAAAGAGCTACTTGTCACCTGGACAATCTTCAATCAAGTAATTGATTGACGTTAACACTTGCCACTTGGACTGCAATAACAAATACAGGTAATCACGTACAACACTTGATGGTAACATACAAGTACAACACTGTAATGTTCACAACACAATAATTAATAAATGAAAAAATAAATCGCAGGTGTCAACTAGACACAACACTCAATGACTTACTCATTCACTGGTGTCTGGAAAGAATATAAAATACACTATCACACATACTGAAATACTCAATAATGAAATAATGATATAATAATAATATAATATCAATACCAACACCGTACAACTCGGATGCACAAAAATATAAGATATACTAAATGGATAGCATGTGTATAATATTTACACCAATGACAGTGAACGGATGCAGTATCGTGCAGACTGCTGTACCGACACATGTCCCGTTGCTTCCTCAACCAATCTACCTCTCACCTGTACCGAGCGATAATGAGATAAATGCAGGTCGGACGGCTGATCCAGGATCAACATAAGGAAAACACTTTCAGAACAAGAGAAACGTTGGTACTCACTTTAGGATCAGCCTGTCACTCGCACTTTGCAAGTTACAGTATTGGACTATAGATGCTCCGATATAATGCTCCAGCAATTACCGCATGTGGTGACATGCGAGTAACACAGTTGACACAGGGTGGCAGGTGCAACTCCTCAAGCAATGACCGCACGTGATGACATGCAAGTACAGTAACACAGATGACGCAGGGAAGCAGGTGCAACTAGATCAACAGGTGCTCCATGGCCGCTAGTGGCGCAACGAGCAAGCTTGGGTGGTGGTGATGGCAGCTACACATTGTAGGGTGGCGCAGTTTGGCAGGAAATTTTACAAGTCCACAAATCGCTCTGAAAATAAAGTTCTCTCACTTTGAAAAATATATATAATGACTAAGACAGCACCGATGATGATTTACAGTTCTGTACTGTGTATGATCATATTCAATATTTATGTCCTATTAAAGTAATTCAAATGATTACATGAAATCATTATACAGTACTTTATTGCTTATATTGATTATGGATAATGGTTACAGATAATCATCACAGTGATTATAGCTATAGATTGTATATAGAAGTAGGTTGTATGATATGATTGCATTAAAAATATTATATTTTTAATTATTATAGTTATATTCAGTATATTAATTGTAGAGGTTTATACAGTACACTATATATTAATACACTCACAAATTATTACTGTACTACGTCTATTCTAGCCACTGCACTCGTCTAATGGGGAACTGTGAAATACTCTATCACTAGACAACAAAAAATTCACAGGACATTATTATGTAGCTCCAGAGACCTTCTTTAATTTGTTGTGATGAATTTTGTGATGAATGCAAATCAATGTGTGTATTACACCAGACAATATTTTGACAGATTAAATGTTTTCATTATGATTTTGACTTGATTTAGTGATACTTGTATTTTTAAAGAATTTTGGCCGGATACAATTTGTCTTTGAGGACTCTTAGTAGTGTTTTGCTCTTTGAATTAGGTTTGGTAAGCTCTAGTCATTTTAAACAACTATTAAGTAATTTGAGGTGGCATTATTTCCTTTTAGTGAGCTTTAAGTCATTTTTGTAATAAAAATATTCACACACACATTTGATATTCTATACAATTGTTTAACATTTTATGTATAATACATGATAAAAGTAGGAGAGGCATCTGTGTTTAAAGATCAGTTCATAATATTGCATCACGAGATATATTAGGAGAAGAAACGGCAGATACCTCCTTTGATCACCTAATTGTGATCAAACTTTATCTAATTAGTTTGATAAAATATATGAGACTTTCATAGTTATGATAGTTATATAAAAGATGTGTCCTTAAAAGAGTAAATGGGCTATTTTATCATCTGAAATATGTGTAGAATACTGGCATGTACTACTTTCTAGTACTAGTATACATATTTTGTTTGCTCAAGTTTTGGATGCTTTTATCAACTTTAGTACAGTAACATTCATTTTTGTTCCATACTGTTGGCAGTGTATATGTGCAGTGAGGAACCCAGATTCAGTTAACAAGGAAAGTGGTAGTTAAAGCATCTAGAAAGCTTTAAGCATTTTCAGTATTAAATATAAATTTCAAAATTTGTGGAACTTTAATTAAATATATAAAATCCAGATTATGACTTGAGTAATTTTGAATAAACATTTTATATCACTTTTTGCTGATTACTGTACAAGCAAATTTTTTTTTTTTTTTTATAAATCCATGCAAAAGTTTTTATTTATTTTATTTTATTTTGTGTAATGTGAACCATAGTGTTTCTTCTATGCCACATTTCAGTGTGTTATCCTATATGTGCCCTCTAATTCAATCATTTAGTTGTATTAATAGTTAATTTAACTGAAAGAGATTACAATGGAGATACTAGTAACACCGCTTGATATCATCATCCTCTTTAAGGGTAATCAAAATAATTTACCAAGCAATGGACTGCTCATTCCTCACTCTACCTGTTGCCTGGTGATGAATAATTTTGTTTGTGTTGATCAGCATATCACCTTGAGGCAGTGGGAGTTAGATACAATCATGTAGCCAGACTTGTCAGTATTATCTCAAGGAGATTAAGACCCATATTTGACCCCAGTGGTTCAGTCTCGTGCCTTAATGCCTCATGTTGTATAGCACAGTTTCAACATCTGAAACTTCACTTTATTACTTTATAAATCTGGGTATCCAGTTACACCTATAAAAATACATAAGCATGGTTAAATTTTAATTTGACACTGAAATGTTGTAGAAAGAATACAGTACTACTGTAGATTGATTGACATAAAGGCTTTGTAGTTTATTTGTCGAGTGAGAAGACCAGTCAGAGCAAGGAGTTAATGTATGAAAGAGTTTAAAAAGTGGTGGTTTATAGGTCATGTTATTTTATAGTAGTATGTGTCTAAGGATGATGTATAAAACGGTCATGCTAGAGTGTACATTATAGATGAGATTGCAGACGAGGAGTCACAATACTGTGGCTGAAATATGTTGACCAAACCACACACTAGAAAGTGAAGGGATGATGACGTTTCGGTCCGTCCTGGACCATTCTCAAGTCGATTGTGAGAATGGTCATTCACAATTAACTTGAGAATGGTCCAGGACGGACCGAAACGTCATCATCCCTTCACTTTCTAGTGTGTGGTTTGGTCAACCAGAAATGAGATTTTTGAGGAAAGGTGATTTACATACCAGACTGATGAATATCACCATCATGGATGAGTAAGATTGTTTGAGTGGAATCAATTTCGATAGATAGTCCTTCCAGTCACCTGGACTGGACCACCTTTTATTGGATAATGTACAGTATATGTAAAGAGAGGAGTGTTTATCAAGAATTCAAGAATATTAATCATTTCACACTAATCTTGCAGGTTAATGTGAAACAGCATGATATGCATATACTGTAGTAAACTAGGTTAATTTTAATTAAAAACAAATGGATATATTTTATATGAACCTGTGATGAGAATGTGAGAACTAAGTTAAATCTGTTAGGGTTGTATCACAATATTAATTAAATTAAATGCAGAGAAATTTTCATTCAAACACAATTTTGATATGATATCAAACCCAGATGAAATAAATGAAAGGTGGCAAAAATAATTAAAAGTGTAGCATAGGGAATAATCTCAAGTATATAATTATTTGTTACTAGTAATATTTAGTAGGTCACAATGAAGTAAAATTATAAAGCAGTACAGAAATTAAGTGAATTAAAGCTCTTGGAATTGGTGGATGATGAAATGGTGTATTATAATGCATAAGCTTTGTAATGTGGTACATTAGAGCATTGAAGTAAGATAGTGTACTAGAATACATAATGAATATAATGATATTGTACCAGTGCACAATAAAACTGTCAAGAATGTATGCAGTTACTGTTGTATATTTAATAAATGTTTTAGGTACTCCATTATTCTTCATCGTTGGGAGTAAATTGAGATGATCTGGGAAATGTTGCAGATAAGTTCACATTCCTTCAAGAATGTGAATAAGACATCAAATTCAGAAGTATATAGTATGAGAAATAAATATACATCGGAAATACTGTAAAATCACAAATGGTCACTGATATACAGAATGAACAAAAAAATTAATTGTTTTAACTCTGAACACTTTTGCTACCATGTATGCACCATGTATGTGGAATAATTACAAAATAATTTATTAAAGAAAATTTTATTAAGACCAAGATTGTACAAGAATATTAACTTGTTAAATGAAACATTTCTTTTGTATATGATGTACTGTACTGACTAAAAATGCTTATAATAGTCAAGAGCTGTGAAATAGTTTATAAATTAATGAATACAAAAATGTTTAGCATACCCCATATGAAATACAGACAAATTTCCTGCTGATATGGACAGTATGTCATTTATTTAGCCCACCCTCCAATGATAGTACAGTACTGTATAGTAATTATAGCAACTATTGGGTAAAACATAAAAAAAAACAGCATTGAATGAAATGAAAAGCCATTTTCTGGGTGAGAACTGGACCTTCCCCCGAAGCTATCAAGGCTGATATGGATATATTAGACTTTGGCATCAGTCAATATGCATGGAGTTCTAGGCCTACCAGGGACTATGAGCCAGAACCTGGCTCCCTCAGAGCGGCACGAGGAGCAATGGCCTATAGAAACCCCCGTGTGGTTGGATGCATTCTATGTCTACCATCGACCGTGTCAGGCACCCAGAAAGGTAAGCACCCCAAAACAAACCCCCTATTCGGGTTAACATTGCTACTGAAAGCCGAACTAGTGGACAGAGCTCCCCAAAGGAAAACTAGCATGACATCATCACGTCGCTGTCTGCGTAACCCTCCTCTCCTTCCCTTCCTCCCCAGGAGGGGCAAGGAGGGAGCCTCAGATCCTGGCTACCCATATCCCAGTTCTGAGGCTGGATGTCAAAACATGCGAAAAACTGCCAACCGAGGGGAGGGTTGCCGGGGAGCCTCCGAGTCTCGCCCAGAAAATGACATTTCATTACATTCAATGCTGGTTTTCTGCGGGAAGCCCCTGCGGCTCCCAGGAGCTACTTATCCAAAGACAACAATTGGGACATACCCGAGATACAGTCAGCTCTCACTCCTCAACTCTATGTCGAGACTACTGGCTGCAGCCGCTGACCCAATATCGGGTTCAAATCCTCCTCATGGTTCCTACTGATTTCTCTCATCGATACATCACATTAATGAGATTTCTTTGTGCATGTGCTAGAGATAAGAAATATCCAATATTGGATTTCAATTACTGTACCACAGGATGCATAGGGTTAAACGACTTCAAAGCCATAAGGGCACTGCACGAGTCAACCGCAATGACAAGGAAATGAAAGCAATTGATGAAGTGCATACAAGACTGCATAAAGTTCCTTTGTGCTAGTCTCCTGGCGGGTAAGAAGCACATATAGGTTGGCTCAGGAAAGACAACGAAATATTGTAGAGTCAACAGCATCAGCAAACTTAAACCTATTTGTGAATAGGGCAATGGAGTGCGAGTGTGAAGAAGTGTTCAAGAAAGAGATTTTATTACCATAGGATGGGTAGAAGCCTTAACTCTGTGGGTCAAGGTCTTGCAAAATTTTGTGAGACCCCTCTGTTTGGCCAAGGATGGAACAACACGAGGAGAGATTTGCAAACATGAATAGAGAACCTTGCAAGTGAGACATAGATACAGTAAATGGAAAGTGATGATAGGGAACAGGGGCCTCACAAGAAGTAACAATCAAAGAACGGCATATGCGAGAGAGAGTATATTGCAGGAACCATGCAAGGTAGTAACAATCACAATCCTGTAGACAGAATGTCGGTTTCCACATACAAGCTTAAGTCCCACATAAGGGGACGAACAATGGGCACCAGAGCTAAGGTGTAATCCAGTATGAATTACACCTTATCCAAAGGTATCCATAATCCAGTATGGATCACACCTTATGCTCTTGATGCAGAGCATCAAGACAATGAAGGGTCGAAGGAAAAACATAGTAGTATGCAGGGCAGCCATAATTGAGTTTAAACAGCACGAGAAAGGAGTAAATAGAGGAATGCGCACCTATCAGCTTCCAGAAAGTATGGGACAAGATTTTAAGGTTAGGTTATTTCAACATTCAACTCAAGAGGTAAGAGATGAGGGGTAACCAAGGCAAACGAGTAAAAAATATAAACCCTAAAAACTTAGCAGAATCTTCATACAGAAAGGAACTATCGTAGTGACAATGAGGGACGAAGAACGACCTGCTGCCAAGTAAATGTTATAGCACAAATCTTAGTTGAAGAGAACATAAAGCCATGCTTGGTGGCTCAGGATGACACAGCATCAATCGCGAGTTGAAACTGTTGTTGGAGGAAAGGGGAGTCATCACTCCAACAGCAGAGAATGAGATCAACAAAGAGGGGCGAAAAAAATGCCAGAGGGAAGAGAGTAAGGAAGACCATCTAGGGCAACTAGGAAAAGGGTGGTGCTGAGACCACTGCCTTGGGAAACACCTTCATATTGTCAAAACGTGTCAGAGTAAGTGGTACCAAGTCTCACTTTAAACGAATGACTAGAGGGGAACTTTTGAAGAAACGGCATATTGCCATATCTTGAGGTTATCTTGAGATGATTTTGGGGCTTAGCGTTCCCGGTCCTCGACCAGAGTTTAGACAGCGTCCCCCGGTCCTCGACCTTCTTTTTGTTACACACCCCCAGGGAAGCAGCCCGTAGCTTCTTTTTGTTACACACCCCCAGGGAAGCAGCTGTCTACTCCCAGGTACCTATTTACTGCTAGGTAACAGCTAGGTAATCAGGGTGAAAGAAACATTTTGCCCATTTGTCTCCGCCTCCACCGGGGATGGAACCCGGAACCTCAGGACTACGAATCCGAAGCGCTGTCCACACAGCTGTCAGGCCATGAAGGCCAAAAAGAACATAGTTGGGACAATATTGTTTCTCTAGGTGGTGTCATGGGTGTTTAAAGGTAAAAAAGAAAAGCAACAACAGAGGTCTTCAGAGCAAAGGCAGTACAAATGTAGACCTTTAATTAAAGTCCACTAAAACATCAGTAGTTCTGTGGCACTTGCAAGCCCCACAAAATTTCTCAAATTGTGCTTGCAAACTTCACATGATAAAATGCAACACCCAGTTTACCATTTTCTCACTTTTTTTTTAAGCATTAAATAGGCTGGCCATCTAAGTACCACTCTTAACTGGAGACAGGTGTCAACTGTCAAACTAAAATAACCAGTAAATTTACCTTGTCAATAAATGCATGGACCTTTTGAGCTCATCACAGATGGTTTTGTACAGATAGATTTCCTTTACCAGTATTTCTGTATTTCCATATATGCCATGCTAAAAATGGATCAAACATAAAAAAAAATCCCATTTTGCAGTGAATCAAATATTTCATGTTCGAGAAGCCATGCTATGCTTATCTAACATGCAAATAACAGTCTTTACCCATTCCATGATGTTCCCAGTAACTGCATTCCTCATTAAAAAAAAAAAAAAAAAGTCACTTGTCCTAAGCCTATGCCTCTCTAGTCTGGGCGTTAAGTACAGTATGTTGTCATAGTCTCAGTAAGTATTACTTTTTGATGTTCAGTTACAGTAGTATTTTGCTAGTCAATGAACTCCTCTTTCAACAATGTCTAAAACCTTAGAAATATGGAAGTGGACTGAACCTCTTGATGGTGAATAAAATAACCATAGTATTGCTCACCATTGACTTTTACCCATAAAGAAAAGGTTTTGAGAACAATATCTTGCCTGTTTGCCACTTTTAAGAAGCTGATACTTGCTGTCAAATGATCCATTATGTAGACAGTCATTGGATCCACAGGTGATCCAATAAGCCCCTAGTAAAAAAAAAAATTGAGCCAGATTCTGGTTTTCTTTGGCTATACAGTATTAACGTCATATTTGCAGACAATCATTTCACCATGGTATGGTAGGATTTAATTTTAAAGCAGTTATTTTAAGTTTAGATTTCTTGTAGATCTTGCATCAATATCTGCCGAGAATTTACAGGCAAATTTGAGAGAAGTACAGCAAGTCTTGTGCCAGCTGAACCAGTATTTGGCACGATATTATGACTGTGATGTGAATAATGTGGTAGTAACAAGTGTGGAGTTATATACAAAATCTCATGACAGTGATAAGTTGATGTGTAATATGTGTATCTAGTGAAAAAATTAGTTGTTGCTACTATATCTAAAAACCTTTTCTTGGTTCTTTATTTTTCCAGTTAACTTTTCTGTGCACCACTTGACTGAACATTTCACTTTTGGGTCAGTAAGTACAGTTAGTTTTTTAGTTTAGTTCATTTATTATGCACCCCATACCCATCTTGTGGGCGGTAGTGGAAAGGGTTACAGAGGCACATAATGGGCTCAGGGACTGAACCCCACAATTCATTTAGCTAAGCAAGTTACAATCTTTATGAACTAGTTACAAAATTCAGTACAAGTCGTCACATCAACAATGGGTTCCAGATCGACCACAAGTAGTTTCTAAATTAAGCAACTGACAATTGGAGAGCTAGTGTCACAATTGATATATTTGTCCTGCACACCGACCCCCATCCAGTGGGCAGTGGTGGATAGGTTACAATCACTTAGTTACTACTGTACCTACAATTAGCAAACTGGGGATATTTGGCTAAAATTTCTAGTAACAGATCATAAGTACAGTAGCAAAAATATATATCAAATATGGATCACATGTATTACCTCGGGAAATGTATTACCCGAGGGGCCACCATCCAATATGAAGCTGGTTAACATAAGGTTGACTGGCTCATGCTGGGCAAACCCATTTAAATCCACTCATATACCTACTTTCTATAGCCCTAAAATATTTTTCCAGCATTCTACTGGTTTAGAAATAATTGTGGATGAGTGGAATGGGTTCCCGGTCTGTCTAATTACCCAAAGCTTCCTGGCATTACGTTAGTAATGAATAAATGATATATTGACTGATTATAATGTGGTGTTGAATGTAGAACATAGAAAAACATTTTTACTCTGAAGAAGTATCACTTCATAACGAAATTTGACTAAAATAAGCTGCTGGTGACGCCAAAGCAAGTCAATGGTCCAAGCAATAATGTTGTGGAGCGACTTATCCAAGATACATTGTTGCCTAAAGAGTATTTCCTGGCATATCAGCCTCCTGTACCAACTTAAGTTAATATAACCTGTACGCAACAATATATCTTGGATAAGTCGCTCCACAACATTCTCTTGGACCACAGACTTGCTTTGGCCTCACCAGCAGCTTATTTTCGTCTAATTTCGTTATGAAATGATACTTTTTCAGAGTAAAAATATGTTTGTCCATGTTCTACATTCAGCACCAACATTATAATCAGTCAATATATCATTTATTCATTACTAGCGTAATGCCAGGAAGCTTTATCTGGCTTTTGGGTAATTAGACGGACCCTGGTTGATAGGGTTCTGGGAATTCTTCTCTCCAAGCCCGGCCCGAGGCCAGGCTTGACTTGTGAGTTTGGTCCACTAGGCTGTTGCTTGCAGCGGCCCGCAGGCCCACATACCCACTGCAACCCTGGGCTGCCAGCTAGCTTAATTCAGACTAGCAGTTAATTAAACAAGTTTCAATAATGCAATGGATATACAGTACGTATTGTATATGTATGGGGAAAAAGGGGATGGGGTAGATTTTAATGGGACCCACCTAGTATGGACCAAAGGCCAGCTGTGGTGCACCCAAATTCTCTTATAACATATAGTAATTGAAACTAAAGAGCTTATTAGCAATGAAGGGGGGGGGGAGTATCATAGGCTACACTGAACTGCTCTCCAGCCATTTGCCATTAGAGGATCTTCACAAGCCACACTTGATTTAACCTTTGGGTAATAACAGCAAGCAAAGACTTCCCAACACCTCCCCACCCCAGAAAAGCTAGCCCCAAGGGAACGTTAATCAGAGATTAGTATGCCTAGCCATCACACTTCCATTCCACAGCAAATATACAAACCAACCCCCAGATTCATTTTATTGTAAATATTTTGTTAAGCAGTATAGAGAAATTTTAAATTATAAATACAACCCACATTCTTTAAAAAAGCATGTTCAGTATTACAGTAATTCTTTATATCATGACAACCCATTTCCAAAGTATTCCACAAACTAAATAAGCAAAACTAAAATCCTAGATTAATTTTCTTGTAAGGTTAAGTAAAATGTAAGCTACTTTTTTTATATCATTTTTATTTTATGAAACAAATGCCTCATGAAGTGTTACAATGAAATAATGGTGGGGGTCAAGTGCGTTATCTAGTGAGATGTGGCCGTAGTTACTTCTTTCCACTCTTTTTGATACCACCACTTGCTGAAAAAAACAAAAAAATTTACCACAAACTGTTAATAAAAGGAACTCTAAAAATACCAAAAGCCAATAAGGCTTTACTATGACATTTGGCAATTCTTAAATTAATAAAATACTTATTATTTGTACAGTACTGACAGTGTATATCAAAATGTTACATGGAAACAATAACAAGTTTATCCATATTAAACTTTTGACAGTGACAATTCTTTCAGCCCTGTACCCACTGAGTAAAAAAAAAGTGTTGAATGTAATGAAAAGTCAATTTCTGGATGAGCCCCCTGAAGCTTCATGAAGCTATCACAATGAATAAGTGCCATAATACTAGGTGCCATCAGTCATGGAGTTCTACTGGCCTACTGGAGACCACGAGCCAGAACCTGGTCCCCTCAGAGAGGCACAGAGCAATGAACACTTTAAACGTAAAGTTCATCATCTTTGCCACCATCCAAAAGGGAAGGCTTCCAGATGGGCAAATCAACACAGGCAAACATGGTAAAGACAAAACTATACCCTCAAAACTGCTAACTCTCCCATAATGAAAACAAAATTTTGCGAAATAGCCCCATGCTATTTTGCCTCCTTCCCACGCCTGGGGAAGAGGAGGGAGCCGGCCTAGGTCAGCCGGGCAACTCAATCCAGTTCTATAATTAAACCTGCTGATGACCAGGGTCAGGGAGCCTCCGGACGCCACATCCAAAAACTGGAATTTCATTACATTCAACTTTGGTTTTCTGTGGGGAACCTCGTTGGCTCCCTGAAGCTAACTACCCAGAAAGGACAAAAGGGTCACGACAGAACTGCAGACGACTGATCTCCACGACAAATGAGTGCAACATATTGTCCATGCAGAGAACCAGGGACAATAAAAGATACCTAGCAGCCAAGACTATTAGACCTCCAAAACCCTCGTGCCTGAATATCAGTCTGAATATAAAAGACAACCGTCAGAGCAGCACACTTAGATTCATGGGCACGAGGGTAGACCACAGGCTGATTAGTTGTAATAACACTACGGACAATCTGAGAAACACGAGCCCTGCAACAGAGAACCAGGGAAACTGGATCAACCAAAACAGAACTATTGCCACGAAGCAATCAAACCAAGCATCCACAACCAAAGGACCCCTCTGGAAGCCCACAAACTCATTCTTCACCTGAAAGGAAGAAGTTAGTTAGTTACAGTTACAGGATGAGAGCTACGCTTGTGGTGTCCCGTCTTCCCAGTAAGTTGTCATATAACGCTTTGAAACTGACTGTTTTGGCCTCCACCTTTTCACTTAGCTTGTTCCAACCATCTACCATTCTGTTGGCAAAAGAAAACTTTATAAAAAAATTTCAGCACCTTTGTTTCCTTTTTCTCTGTAATCTGTTTTCTCTTGTCCATGAAGTTGTTGGTTTCTGGAAATCCTCCTTGTCAATTTGGTCAATTCCTGTTAGTATTTTGTAAATGTAATCATATCTCCTCTTTTTCTTCTATCTTCTAATTGTTTGACATGTTTAATGCCTCTAGTCTCTGCTCATAACTAGTTTTTCAGTTCCAGAAGCCATTTTGTAGAATGCCTTTGCACCTTTTCCAGTTTTTTATGTGCTTCTTGAGATTTGGGCACCATACAAATGCTGCAAATTCCAATTTTGGTCTCACAAAAGTCATGTAGGGTTTCTTTAGTATTTCACCATCTATGTAATTAAAAAGCAAGTCTGAAGTTGTAAAGTGACGCATACGCTCCTCTCACAATGTTATTTGTGTTCCTCTGGCGACAGTTTACTATCCAAAATCACCCCTATATTTTATCCTTTATTAGTTCTGTAATTCTTCAAATAATTTGCAAGTTGTACATGGTCTTATTTTCTCCAATTCCACATTCCATAACATGCCATTTATTCACATTGAATTCCATTTGCCACGACCCTCCAGGCACTTATTTTATCTAGATCAAGTTAAAAGGCATTACAATCATCTGCATCTCCTGTCATCCACAATAGCTTAGCATCAGCAAACACGTTCTATAATTCTGTATTCCTTCCGGTAGTGTTTATGTAGACAATGAACATTACTGGTGCAAGAACTGAACCCTGTGGTACTCCACTAGTAACACTCCTCCAATCAGATACATTGTCTCTGATTACTGCCCTCATCTGTGTCAGTTAGAAAATTGTTAATCCATGTCAGAAGTCTTGTCACCCCTCCAGCATGTTCCAGGTTACAAGACAACCTCGTGTGAATTTGTCGAACATCTTTTGACTGTGTATGCTTGTCAAGGGCATCATGAATGCCTAAAAAAAATTTTGATAGGAATTAATTTATGCGGTATTACATCTCTCATCCAACAAAGTTTGAATACCCTGCATCTGATAATACCTGATCTCAACTTACCTAGTGGACCACCTTTAGCTGCACGTGCCTGCAGCTCCTTCATCTTTTTGTCCTCCTCTTTTTTCTTTTCCATAAAAGCCTTATCATCCTGAAAGAAAATTTTACACGATTAACGCCTTGAATTAAAAATAATGAAAAAAAAAGGATTACAAATGATCCACTTACAAAGAACATCAATTGCTGAGAGGATATAAATATAATTTCACCTGTAGGAAAGGGGGTCTGGGGGTGGTTGCAGTATTAGGAGGGGGGTGGGGAGGTTGCAGTATTAGGAGGGGGGTGGGGAGGTTGCAGTATTAGGAGGGAGGTGGGGAGGTTGCAGTATTAGGAGGGGGGTGGGGAGGTTGCAGTAGTAGGAGGGGGGTGGGGTGGTTGCAGTAGTAGGAGGGGGGTGGGGTGGTTGCAGTAGTAGGAGGGGGTGGGGTGGTTGCAGTAGTAGGAGGGGGTGGGGTGGTTGCAGTAGTGGGAGGGGGGTGGGGTGGTTGCAGTAGTGGGAGGGGGGGTGGGGTGGTTGCAGTAGTGGGAGGGGGGTGGGGTGGTTGCAGTAGTGGGAGGGGGGTGGGGTGGTTGCAGTAGTGGGAGGGGGGTGGGGTGGTTGCAGGAGGGGGGTGGGGTGGTTGCAGTAGTGGGAGGGGGGTGGGGTGGTTGCAGTAGTGGGAGGGGGGTGGGGTGGTTGCAGTAGTAGGAAGGGGGCTGGGGGTGGTTGTAGTAGGAGGGGGAGTTGGGTGGCAGTAGTAGTAGGGGGAGTTGGGTGGCTGGATGTAGTAATAGGGAGAGTTGGGTGGCTGGTTGTAGTAGTTGGGGGAGTTGGGTGGCTGGTTGTAGTAGTAGAGTTGGGTGGCTGTAGTAGTAGGTTGCTGGGGTATAAAAAAAATATATATATTTTCATACCATTTGATAATGTTTGAATTGTTGATTAGTTTACCTGGTGTACTTCATTACAACCCCATAGAAGAGTTAAAAGCATATACACAATAGAAAATGGTGTTTGGCTTTGGGCAATGAAATGGCCTAATTGGCACCATATGATGCCAAAGTTATGTTGGCATAATTTCCTCGGGCATTGTTTGGCACCAAGACAACTGGGATTATTCCCTAGCATCATAAAATGCGCATAAAATTTTTGGAGCTTCATCACTTGTTTATTCACTGTGATACCCCTACAAGTTTTAAAACTGTTCTAAAATTTGTCATGAGTGGACTGCACGACTTGGTAACAAAAGGTTTAAATGTTCACCGCAACCTAATTCTTTTGTATGGTGAAATTTTTACAAGGAAATAATCCCATTTTATAAAGAAATTACTTAAATAGATGGCAGTTGACAACTTAGGAAATCGACGATCAAAGCACCTATGTTGTGGGGTGACTTATGCCAGATATATTGATAGCTGGCATAGCAGCCTTCTGTACACAGTTAAAGTCACATTTCTGCTTAATGTCACAAATTTAATTGATGTTAATTGTAGTAGATTGCATATTAACAATAATATTTAGCACAAATAACCACAAAACATTTAAGATTTAAAAAAAAACATGCCTGGAAGTTAAACTATTGGACAATCGTTTTAATAACTGCAATAGGATAATTAATAAAAATTATTAAAACATTTGTCCTATATTTTATTTAACTTTGATACAATTTTAATAAATCTTAAATGTTTTTTAGTTACAGTAGTGCTAATTATTATTGTATACAATCTATTAGTTAATATCAACTAAATTTGCAACAAATTAAACAGAAGTGCAACTATTCGTTCACTGTGTACAGGAGGCTGCTATGCCAGCCAACATATATATGGGGTTTATAGTCGCTCCACAACACAGGAGTTTGAATCGTCGACTTTGTCATCACCTTCCACTTTATTCAAGTCTAATTTAGGTATAAAATAAAATTATTTCCTTGTAAAAATATAAATTTTTACGTTCATTCAGTGGCAGTTTAGTGAGCAAATGTCTTTCATTATTTATGTAATGCTATGAGGCTTATGGTATTTTCTCAAATATCCAATAGATAGGGCGAGTCACTATGAAAATTTAAAACTGATGTACTGTATCTTTATTTTCCGATAAGATATATTTCCTGTTATAGACTCACAATAACACAAATATCTCCATCTTTCATATAATATTTTAGGCTTTATTAGCATACTGTATCTGTTAATTACACAACTTATCGGGCAGTGTGAAGGCATCTGTACTCCATGACCGACAAGCTACTGGACGCCATTATAAAAATGCATGTACTGGTACCATCTTTACTTGAACTTTAAATGTCATGATATGGAATTAAGATGAAGCTTATATTTGTATCTTTCTTGCAACACATAAAACACTTTCATTTATCAACAAACGTATGTAAAATAAGCCTTGTTCTGATATGAATATTGTGGGTTCCGAGCTCGACGAGCAATGATAAATGCAACCGTTATACAACTACTGCACATATATCTTCGGTTTTACTTAAAATATTATTCCGGGAGCGGTTTAAAATATAGATTATGTTTTAGTCTTCCTTCTGACATATAATTTTTGTTTATTAAGTTATAAAGATGTTTTAAACAAATTTGTTTGGGCATTCGTCTTTCCAACACGGTTACACATTTTTGGAATACAATACACGGGTTGACCCAACTCGTTTTTGGGTAAGATTCTAACCTAACTACACCAATGCTCCATTAATGAAGGTCACAATCAATACTAAACATTCCGTAAATCAACCGGATTGTGAAGTGACTAAATTCACACTTTGGAAAATTGGTCACTACTACCATGGCGAGTCTCACGTACCACTTAATCACCAATATATTGGACAATATAGCCCATTATACATTCCTGTACATAAATCACACACTCGGGCTCCTCTGATCCCTGTACCGCCGCCGCCGCCCTAAATAACAGCATAAAATAAGCACTGCTGGATTACTTATTCCCAGCACGGACTAATGTCTTCCCAACCTACCCTTCCTCAGTAGTCATAATTCTCACCCAGACGTTCTGAACCCACATAAATTAATACGAAGTTTAAATATACGAATGTGGTATAGTGGAAGGGTGAGAGGCAGCAGAAGTGTGGTGAGATATGACAAGAGATGAACCAGGGAGGTTCCCCACGCACGCTGCTCTCATACTCACGTCGTCCATGTCCGCGTTCTTCTTCTTGGGCGCCTTCAGCGGCTTCTTCTTTCCACCTGCAAGACACACATAGATTTATTTCCATAGAGAGAGAACTATTCTGCTTTAACAGAGCAGGAGTAGTGAGGCAATAGGACAAGATATGGCGTCTTACCTTCTCGTGAAGACATGTTGGCTGGCTTGTGGCTCTTCTCTCACTGGCCGCTCCTTCTCTCCTTCTTCGTACACACACGTTTCGAACATTGGAATTTTATAACCAATTCCTTTTTTAGCAAACATACGTGTAACTGTTTTCTATGAATCCCACATTATATAATATGATTTGTATTTTCTAAATGTATATCATCGGTTACATTAGATTACGTTAAGTTAAGAAAAATGCCTGTGCGAAATATATTTTGTACGAAGTGTTCTGCACCTGTCGTCGTCTCATTTATCCTTCATGACAATGATAATCATAAAATCCTCACTTCTCACTAACACCGAATTATATATATATATATTTTTTTTATTATTATTATTTCCTGTCCTTTCTCAGAGTTGTCTTGATTCAAAATATTTGTAGGCGAAAATGTTATATATGACATGTTTATGTGGGAAAATAAATAAGGTCTTTTTTTTCGTTTTATTATTAACAAGCGAAAATCAAAATCAAATCAAATATTTATTCAGGTAAAGTATATACATATAAGGCGAGATACAAAACGTTGATGGATTTATAGATAGAGCTAGTACACTGATTGATTATGCTGCACCCATGCTTGCCCTAGTGCCTGAGAGAATGCTTGGAGGGCTGGAAAAGATGCAAAACGAAGCCATGAGGATAATCCTCGGATGCCCCCGTACAACTAAATTACTAAACATGAGGTAGGAACTGAATATTTCGTGTGTAAGTGATCGTATCACTGAAATTAATGCTTTAATTGGTATCAAGATGCTTAGGCTAACCCACCCTATCCCCTGCACTGAAGCCCTCCAAGCCTTCTTCCTTGAAGGTCAGCATCCCTCCAAATGGATTGCCGTAACTGCCAATGTGCTCAGAATGTATAACTTTCATCACTCCTACCAAGAGAGACAACAACAACACTTTCCTGCCCCATGGGAGATCACTCCTTTCCAAATTATTGTCCCCCTTTCCCGCCCAAGAAGCTGATTAAAGAACAAACCTTGCTTCGACAAGAAGCAAAGTACAATGCCTTAAGCCAAATTGATGCTTTAGTCAGAGAGCGCTCCCTTTCCCAGATTATTTACTCTGATAGATCCTTGCATCAATCCTATGGTGCAGCTGGAAGTGCAGTTGTTGTGACAGGGAGAGATGGTTCCTTCTCCCATGAGTGTGGAGCCCGTCTAAGTAACTGGGCCTCCACTCTTCAAACAGAATTGGTTGTCATAATCCTTGCACTCTCTTGCACTCTCTTGCACACTCTTGCACTCCAAACCTTCCCAGATATTCTAAAAAAAGCGAGAGTAACGCCTGTCCACAAATGTGGTAATCTCACAGATGTTAACAACTACAGACCTATATCTATCCTGCCAAACTTGTCAAAAATTTTTGAAAAACTAATCTATAAGCAGCTTTACTCATATCTAGCCAAACTCAATATACTTAGCCCTTGCCAATATGGCTTCAGACCCAAAAAAAGCACTAACGATGCACTTATTAGTATGCTTAACTCGATTCATACAGCTCTTGATAAAAAGGAGTTCTCTGTTGGGTTGTTTGTGGACCTGCGTAAAGCTTTTGACACTGTCAACCACCAAAACCTTCTTCTTAAATTACATCATTATGGAGTCAGAGGACACTCCCTACAATACCTCAAATCCTACCTTACTGACAGGCTCCAATATGTTTCTGTGAATAACACAATTTCTCCCACCCTACCCATCAACATTGGTGTTCCCCAGGGCAGCATACTTGGCCCTCTCCTCTTTCTCATCTACATTAATGACCTTCCAAATGCCTCCCAACACCTCAAACCAATTCTATTTGCTGACGACACAACCTTCATTTACTCCAGTCCTGATCCCCTTGCTCTAAATGCCACAGTAAATACTGAGCTAAATAAAGTCCATCTGTGGCTAACTGCCAACAAACTCACCCTTAACATTGACAAAACCTTTTATATTCTGTTTGGCAATAAATCCTCTAATCAAATAAATCTCAAAATAAACAATACCCAAATTTGTAACAAATTAGATGGCAAATTCCTTGGCATTCTCATTGACCACAAGCTTAATTTCCAGGGACACATTCTAAACATATCAAAAAAAGTTTCAAAAACTGTGGGCATTCTTTCTAAGATCAGATATTATGTACCACGCCCTGCCCTGGTGACTCTCTATTACTCCCTTATCTATCCATATCTCAACTATGGTATTTGTGCTTGGGGCTCTACTACCCAAAATCACTTACGTCCTCTAATTACTCAACACAAAGCTGCTATTAGGACAATATCCAATTCTGGCCCCAGACATCACTCGGTACCCCTACTTAAATCTCTGAATATGTTAGACATTAAGTCACTGCACATTCTCTCATGTGTATTATACATATATAAAACGCTAAACTATAATGCCAATCCTGATCTCAAAAGCTTCATAGAAGGTTGTATCAGAACCCATGAGCATCACACCAGAAATAAATACAGTTTTGATATTCCTAGAGTACGACTTAATCAAACTAGAAATGCTCTACAAATCAAGGGGCCCAGAATGTGGAATGACCTTCCCAACCATGTTAAAGACTGTACCTCTCTCAACCAGTTTAAGTTAAAAGCGAAGCTATACCTAATAAATTCCCTGTAACCTACCTTACCCTTCTATTGTCAACCAATGTCTGTTTTTTTTCTTTAAAGAGCGCTGTTTGTCGACATAATTGTATTTGTGCTGCTTTTTCATCTATGTTTTCATTTCTTGTTTTCATTCTACTCATTATGTTCAATTAGTATTAAGCTTGTCATTTAAGTTTATCATGCCCGAAACGCTTTGCGTAATAGTGGCTTTAGGCATTGTATGTACTAGCTATACCTATAAGTTAAACAATCCTTGTAAATATTTATTGTATGTATGTACCTTACCTAAATAAAATTGTATTGTATTGTATTGTATTGTATTGTACTCGAGCGCGTATATGAATCCAAAGTTGACACGCTAATTGTAAGTGACTCCTTGACATCCTTGACTGCCCTCAGCTCCCTAAGGCATAACTGTGACGTGCTTATCTATGAAGCTAGACATAGATATAATGAAATAATCAATGATGGAGTAAGAGTTTGTCTCCTGTGGATTCTTTCCCATATTGGTCTCCGAATGCATGATAGAACTGACGAGTTGGCCAAGACTTTTGCTCGTAAAGAGGGAATTGATTACCAACTTGGACTGCCTTTGAACAGCCTGAGGGCAGCAATATCCCAGGAACATCAACTAAATTTCGGAGACTTGAGGCAAAGTGAAATTCACACCAGTTACTCCATCTATCATCATTCTATTATGCAGGAAGAACCGCACGTCTATGGGTCATCCAATAAAGTTAGCAGACTTCTAGATGTTACCACTGCTAGGTTTAGGCTCGGCTACAAGTACCTCTGGGAATTTGTAACATCTGCTGATGTAGATTTGACTAAATGTAAACTCTGTCAGCAGAACTATTCGCATACTTTGCGTCATTATATAATGGAATGTGAAAAAATCGTGGAATTTAGAGATAGCATCATCAATAGTGTCCAAGAAATGTGTAAGTACTTCATTCATACTGATGTACTGTCCGGAATCTTAGCGAAGTATCCAAAATTTGCTTACTGTAGGTAATGCATGCACATGACTGTAAAGCTGCCGCCCAGTTGGGTGGGTGTGGAGCACATGACTGTAAAGCTGCCGCCCAGTTGAGTGGGAGTACAGCAAGACTAGCAACTGTGTGACTCACCATAGATGTAAAGTGCCTTGTATAGTGACTGTTGTGAGCCTCTTGTTGAATCACTTGTGACACAAAAGATTATTGATGTGTGTATTTGTGTGAGTGATTAGATATGTATGTGTATGTATATATATGTATATATATGACAATGTCAGACCACGGAGGAAAAATGAAACAGGAAATTTCCTTAAGTACTTTCGTATATTAAATACATCTTCAGAAGGTCCTTCTGAAGACCTTCTGAAGATGTATTTAATATACGAAAGTACTTAAGGAAATTTCCTGTTTCATTTTTCCTCCGTGGTCTGACATTGTCACATTCTTAATCACGTGTTTATTTTCGTGATATACACACATGTATATATATGTATATATATGTATACGTATATATATATATATATATATATATATATATATATATATATATATATATATATATATATATATATATATATATATATATATATATATATATAAAAGTTTGTGAGGGTACCACCTCTGGTGCCAATGTGGGGACCCATAGCCTCGGAGAAGAAAATAAAAAGTATTCAGAGGAGACCTTGTGGTCTCTCACTGAACACTAATATTATCTTCTCCTACCACCCCCATTCTTTTGTATGTACACATATATATTTACTTTATTTGAACTTTGTTACAAAAAAGGAGTATATATATATATATATATATATATATATATATATATATATATATATATATATATATATATATATATATATATATATATATATATATATATGTACATGTATGTATGAGAGTGTGTATGAGAGTGTGTGTAGTGCCTCTGTAATCCTTTACATCACCTCCCACGGGATGGGAATGGGGTGCATAATAAAGAAAGAAATTGAACTAGTACATACAATGCCTAAAGCCTTATCTCATCTATCCTTATCTCAACTATGGTATTTGTGTTTGGGGTTCTACTACCCAAAATCATTTACGTCCTCTAATTACCCAACACAAAGCTGCTATTAGGACAATATCTAACTCTGGCCCCAGACAGCACTCAGTACCCTTACTCAAATCTCTGAATATGTTAGATATTAAATCACTGCACATCCTCTCTTGTGTACTCTATATATTTAAAATTCTGAATTGTAATGTCAATCATGACCTTCAACGCTTCCTAGAAGGTTGTAACAGAACTCATGTGCACCACACCAGAAACAAATACCTATTTGGTATTCCAAGAGTAAGACTTAATCAAACTAGGAATGCTCTACAAATCAAGGGACCCAGAATGTGGAATGACCTTCCCAATTATGTCAAAGATTGTACCTCTCTCAACCAGTTTAAGATGAAAACTAAGTACTAACCTAATTAACTCCATGTAACCTACCTTACTTCTAAATATCAACCCATGTCTTACAATTTTTTAAACAATGCTGTTTGTTGACCAACTTGTATATTGGCTATTTTCTACCATGTTCCCTCCTTTTTTATCTTTTATTTATTCTTTCAACGCAATTTATACTTTAAGCTCAATTACTATTAAGTTTTAGTCTGTTTTTTCCCCACCTCACCTTGCCCGTAACGCTATGTGTACTAGTGGCTTTAGGTATTGTATGTACTAGTTCTATCTATAAATCAATCAGAATGTTTGTAACTCTGTATCTATGTATGTACTTTTCCTAAATATAATGTTATTATTATTATTATTATTTACACATCGCGCCTTGCCCGAAACGCTGTACGTATTAGTGAATTTACTAGCTCTATCTATAAATCCAACATTATGTTTGTAACTCATCTTCTATGTATGTACTTTTACATGAATAAACATATATTTTTTATTTATTTTTTATTTTTATAACATTGAATGTTTCGTATTGCACATGTAACTAACCAAAGAAAATGATAACACTGATTTGGTACCACAAGCGAGCATCTGACGTTTTCAGTTTCACAACACTCGACTGACTGGAGTAAATCTATCCCTATCGGGGGTGTCTTGGGTTTTACAGCAGGACTACTCGTGCTGTTATAATTCTAAAAGGGGGAAATCCTTTATGCAAACTGTACGTATCACAAATAAGGCAAAGAAGGAAAGAGGAAATCCTTTGTGCAAGCTGCACGTGTTACAAAGAAGAACAGATAAAATAACTTGCACTTATCTGGAGGAGATACCCAGGCCAATCTACTCGTGACTGATACAGCCTAATCAACGAGGCTGTGAAGACCAAGCTTGGCATGCTGTGTAAAACAAGTTTGCGAACCCCCCAGTGTGCCCCAACTGGCCAAAACGTTTACCATCAAGCAAAGGTCTAGACAGAAGAGGGCAAAAGACCCCTGACACCCAAGATAAGGTTCCCACCCTGGTGATCCAGCCTCTAAAGAGCAACCTCCCAAACACACCAGAGAAGAGAACTGTTGGTGCAGGGGCAGTACTAGGGAGCACACACAGAAGGTAGCCATGAACACGTGAAACTCCAAGTATGCTACGAACTAGGTCCACACAACACAAACTGGACAGGAAACATGCTCATGAAGCTAACTAAAATATAGAACAGTACCAACCAAATAGCCCCACAGAACAAAGCCCAAGGATGGTTGGAATTTAGCTTAGAAGTAGTTGTACCCACATGGCTTGTAGATAATCTGGGGAACATAGTTGACAACCAATTGTGTTCACATCAGCGTCAGAACTGGCTTGGAGGGCTAGGAAGACCTGGAGCTCCAGTAACCCCCCAAACGCTGGCAGTAAGTTGCAGGGGGGCTAATGCTAACAAGCTTGTGCTGATTTAGAGAGATTCGATCATTTGTTGACATTGATTGAGAGGGTTTAACAGTTTCGAGGCTTTGGTCTCTTTGAACCCAGCATAGGTCTGTATTCACGCATTGACTTGCCGAATCCTTTTCCGGTGGGGTGGCAGAGCGTCACCTGCTCTCTGCATCTCTGCGAAGAGAGCCAGGTTCTGGCTCTGGTCCCTGGTAGACCAAACAGAATTCTGCTGCTGATGTAACCTAGTAGTTGGGTCAGCGAGATAGCTTCGTGGAGCTACAAGGGACTCTGAGAAAAAGTAGCACAGGATAAAGTTACCCCTGAACTGGCACCTTTACATAACTTTGAAAGTTGTCATATATTCTTCAAAATGCTGCTAGCATATGATGTAGACGAAAGAATGATGTTTACATACAATAGCAATAATTTGTTATACTGTATAATACTTTTATTTCAGAAATCTTCATGAGCTATAAAGATGTCGGACCCAAAAGAATTAAAGAAAGGGGCAGTTGTGTCAGCCACCTATGACATGATTTTACAAGTAAGTGAAAGTATACAGTATCATTGGCTAAATTATATGAATTAATAAAAATAATAATAATTAGTATTATGATTTTTTTTTTTACATTGCTTATACTCTACTACATTGTACTGTATACATAAATGGTACAACAATATATTTTTTCCTAATGCTAATCCAGCATTGAGCCATTCCAAATATTTGGACAGGAAATTCCATTGAATTATCATTACAAAGAAACTGCTTAATGGGAAAAATTATAGGAAAAATTAGCTGCTAAATAAATTTATGTAAATGCACTAATGTATGATGCATCTCTGGAAGGTTGGACTACGAATCCTGTCTTTCATTCTGAATGCCTTTATTGTGCGCCACGTCAGTCGGGAGGTGTTTGCTGTTATGACTGTTCGACTTCACCTACTGTATTCCACGGGACTTTTGCTGTCACGGGAGGCTTTCAGGCGAGCAGCACTAAGCTCTAAAGAATTTGGGGAAATTCACAAAGTTATCAATCTTATTTGGATTGGGTAAGTGATAAGTGTTTTGGGTAAGTAAGTTGATTGGGTAAGTTATTTGTTTTGGTTGCCGTACTATAGAATGGATATAAATTCACTTGAATGTGTCCAGCATAGGATGACAAATTTAATTCCCCAAATTAGAAACGTGTCATATGAAGAAAGATTAACAAAGCTTAAATTGTATTGACTGGAAAGGCAAAGAGTTAAGGGTGACATGATAGAGGTTTACAAGTGGATGAATGGACATAACAAAGGGGATATTAATAGGGTATTAAATGTATCAACACAAGACAACACGAAACAATGGGCATAAATTGGATAAGTTTAGATTTAGGAAAAACTTTGGTAAATACTGGTTCGGTAACAGGGTTGTTGGTTTGTGGAACCAATTACCGCGTAATGTGATGGAGGTGGGGTCCTTTAATTGTTTTAAGCGTGGGGTGGACATGTATATGTGTGGAATTGGGGTGGCTATAAATAGGAGTTGCCTCGTATGGGCCAATAGGCCTTCTGCAGTTACCTTTGTTCTTATGTTCTTATAACTGTCATTATTTGTGTTTATTATTTTGATATATTTCTGGTGGCTCATCAGTAGCTTTGCTATAACACTGGCATTTGAGGGCTACACCTGACCTGGCATCCAACTATGGCCATATCATAGAAGTGAGGAACATGTGGGGATCAGGAATCAACCCACAGTGAGGAAGTAAAACAAATGAGAGAATGGTCACAAAAACACAAATCACTAGAGAAGTGTTTGGTAACACGTGAATAGCCAAACAAAACTCATAATGGCTGAAACCACCCTTTAATGTCCCTTTCCCTACTGCCACCAGGTGGCAATGCCAGCCACCCAGAGGTCTGGCAAGACCCACTGCACACTTTTGCCAGACATTCATCTGATTTGGCCTGGATGTTATTTGCACATGTCACTGCACATGAAGACATGTTTCCTTAGTGGGTATAGTGCCTGTTTACTACTGTACTTGCATTTTAACAGTGTATTCCATGGTATGTTTGTTACCATTGGACATACAGTGGATCCATGAGCTGACAAACCCCTCCAGTAGAAATCTTGAATAGTCCAAACAGTTTGAGTTCAGTGCAAATTATTCAATGGATCAAACAAATGTTTGCTTCAGTGAGGATTATTTGACTAAGCTGCCACCAAAACCTACTATCACGACATGGCAGTGTCAACAGCTGAATTATTCTATAGTACATTTGTAAACTATTGTACAGTGCATGAAATCTTTTAACCCTTAAAGAGTAGTTATCATCATATGTTGATCTCCATGGTAATGCAGTCAGCATTATTCTGTATGTTGACATTAGTTATTATTGCCTGGTTTTTCTGGAGGGAACCTCTTGTGGCTCTCTGAGGCTATATATTGAAATGGTTACCATCTGCCGAGTCACATCAGCCTAGGGAGAAGTGACATTTATTTTTGCAACCTCACCAGGAAAGACAACCTGAAATTCAATGAGTCCAAACACTTTTATTGGATTCAAAAAGAGACCGAAGTCTCAAAACCAGTGAAAAGAACACCTCCAACTATGTAAAAATTATCAAATTATATTGTCAACTGATGACATTCGAACATTTTTTGAACAGTGCTTTGATGACACCTCTGTTTGAACTACAACTCTGTAAGTGATTCACCCACGTACATACTTCAAATATAAATAATCTTCAACAGAATCTAAACACCTTACCTAACCTAAATCTAAACACCTAACCAGAATCTAAACACCTTACCTAACCTATGCCTAACAATACACAGAACTTATATATATAATAATATTAATATATAAATGAGAACACACCGATTTAAATACAAAATGCATTAAAATTTATGAATGCACTGGGGGATGGGGGAGGGGGGCTCAGCCACAGCTTTAACAAGCCTAGCCCGAGTATGGGTTGCTGTATTGCTTCACTTAGTTTCTGGATGTTTTCTTTGTGATAGCGATGGTTATAATCCCCAGCTCTTATGCCTCTGTGAGGGAGGATCAGGTTCTGACTCTGGTCCCTGGTCAAACAGAACTCCTATGCCTAATGTGACTCAGTAAGGGGAAGTCATTTCAGGAAGTCACCAAGGACCTACTAGAAAGAGGCATTTCATTACATTCAACACTGGTTTTATTTACTTTGAATGATGGAGTTGCTCTGCCTCATTTTGATTTTGTTTTTCAAAGAGTGAAGAGGTCCAGTTACTAAAGGAGGAAAAGTGATGCAGCAGCAGTTAGTGATGCATCACCATCACTAAGTGGTGATGCATAGGCATAGAGCACCATCAACACACTTCCTCCTATTGTCAGCCATTTCTGGGGGGAGCCCCGTTGGCTCCCCAGAGCTATCCAGGCTGATACGAATGTATTAGACTTTGGCATCAGTCAATGTACATGGAGTTCTAGGCCTACCGGGAACCACGAGTCAGAACCTGGCCCCCTCAGAGAGGCACGAGAAGCAATGGCCCATAGAAACCCTCGTGTGGTTGGAAGCATTCTATCTTTGCCATCGACTGGGTCAGGCACCCAGAAAGGTAAGTGCCCCAAAACAAGCTTATATTCTGGTTAAAATATTGCTACTGAAAGCCGTACTAGTGGACAGAACTCCCCAAATGAAAACAAGCAAACGAGCATGACATCACCAAGTCGCTGCACCGCTGTCTGCGCAATCCCCCCTTCCCCGGGAGGGGGAAGGGGAGCTTGGTAGAAACCCCACGGGAGGTCTGTGTTCCAATGGATGTGACCCCTGGATTCCCTCTCGCTTCGTGCGAGTTTGAAGGTTGCGCTGTCCCCTTGTCTCTGGGTGACACTCACTGGGTGTGCCTCTATCATGCTGCCTGACACATTCGACCCAGAGTCTAGCGAGTTTTGTTGCTTGTCCATACTTCAGTTCACCCAGACCGATGATCACGATGTGCGGGTGTGGGCAGCTTCAGCATTGCATGCTCAATTTAGGTTGCTGCAGAGCACTAGGTTGGTTGCTACCCCGGATGCCCCAAGGCTGCCCTGCTTTGGTTATAGGGAACCAGACTTGGGGATGTTAGTCGCCTCATCTTTGGTTCCATCTGCACCCCCCTTGTCCTTTCCCTTCTGTATGCATCTTGGCCCTCCCCTCCCCCTTGCTTCCAGTTCCAAAGCATCTGAGGGCTTTGGAGTTGGGGCTGGGTTTAGTTGGTGTTAAGACTTGGGCAGTTTCGGCGAGTCCCCTTCCGCTGTGGTGACGGAGGCATTCGAGCCTGGTCCTCCGACCGGAGCTTCTGGGTCGGACCAATGGGCTCCCTTTGTTCCTGCTTTTACGGCTGCGCCTGCTTTTTCTTTAGAAGTTGGGGGGTGGGGAGGGGGGGTGGGGGGGTTGGAGGACGGCTTGGCCCCGGGTCCTCGTGGGGAGGTTCCCGGGGCGGGGGGAGGAGTTGACTTGGGGCCTTGGGCTATGTTGGTCCTCGCTTGAATTTTTGTACCCTCAGAGTGAGGCTTGGTGTTACAGGGAGTGGGGTTCCCTTTTTTTCCCTCCTCACACGAGTTGGATTTGGTGTCTACCCCTCCCCGGTTTGGTTCCGTGATCCCGAGAGTTCTTCGATCCCGTCTTTCCAGTGGTTTTCGGTCACCTGCATCCCGCCCCATGTGAAGGCCATTGCAGCTTACCTCCAGTGCGACCCGGATTATACCTTCGTAATGGATCCAACTTCTTTCATGTATGGTGCTTCCTGTCCCTTCTGGGTTTGTTATGAGGTTCTGGAGTCATCCTGGCTTGCGGACTGCCACTTTTTTCTTGTTGGAGGTGTGGCATTCATTCTCTCGGTCCTGCACGCTTGAGTGGCGCAAGGCTCATACGGTGGTTCAGGTTTTCCTGGGGGCAAGTTTGAGTACCTCAGTGCATGCTTGTTCGCTCCTGCCCTTCCTCGGGATGTTGGAGTGGTGCTACTTCATGTGCAGGTTCCTTCTCTTTCGGCTGCATTGGTCACTGAGAACTTGCACGCCTGTGGCCTGTTGGCTTCAATCTTGCGATTCTGTTCCCTTCTCGAACTTTTCTCAGACTGGCTTGAGGTGGATGTGGAGGCGCTTGGAGCCACTCCTGGGTCTGGTGCATTGGCCTCGGCGGTGCGTGCGTTGTCTGCACTGTTGGAGCTGTTTACGTCGATCATGCGGGATGCGGTGTTGCTGTTTTTGCTTCCCGTTTCACATGTCAGCAGGCGGTGCTTGCTTCTTCTGTGGAATCCGCTTGGGCCCCTGTCTCATAGGCTTCTTGACCTTTTGCCCATTGCTGTTTGCAGCGTCTGCTGTTGTGCAGTATCTGCAAGCAGCTTTGTCTAGTTGTCGTCCTGTGTCAGAATTGTTGGTTCTCAGGGGGGGGCCCATGGGGGGTCTTCCCAGCAGGGTCATGCCAGGGCTCGGAGTTCTTTCTGTCGTAGTAGGCCAGTAGTACTAGTTTTGGGGCCGGCGTTACCTTTAGACCCGGCTTCGTCTGGTCAGTGTGGTGAGCTCTCTATTTTGGGGGTTGGGTTCTTGTAAGGGGCATCAGCCCTTTCATGGTTCGCCCTTTTGATGGGGTGTGGTGGGGGGGGGGAAGGCTCGCTCTGTTTGCTCACACCTGGTCCAACTCTTTGTGGGCCCTTCGGGTCATTTCGTGCACTCTGTGGTGGTGTTGGGTGGTCCCTCCTCCTTCGGGAGGGTCGGGGTTGGCGGGCCGGGCCTCCTCTTCTGTGCTGTCAGGTCATCTCGGAGTGGGTTTGCTTGGGCGTGGTCGAAAGGACCACCTCTTTCTGGTGGTTTTCCCATGTGTTTCTAGTTCCGAAACGGGACTGCGAGGCCCTCAGGTTCATTCTGGACTTGTCCTGTCTGAACTTTCCCTTTCCTTCCCCTGGGAAGGAAGTGGGTTTTCTTCCCCTCCTTTAACTACTCAGTCTCGGGTCCATTTTCTGTTGGTGCTGGGCTCTTGGATGGTGGTGTCCCTGGACCTCAAGGACACTTCTTGGGATGTCCTGATTCATCCGTGGTTCAAGGACTGGCTCGGTTTTGATGTGGGCAATCAGGGTTACTGTTTTCGTTGCCTTCTGTTTGGCTTGAATCTGGCACCTCACGTTTTCATGGGCCTTTCCCGGGTCATGGTGGCCCGTCTGCGTTTTTTCGGCGCTTGGATTCTGGCCTACTTCGACGGTTGGCTGGTGTGGGCTCCCAGCCGGTCCGCATGTCTACTCGCCAGGGATTGGTTCTTTCCCAGCTCTCTGGGTTCGGGTTCGGGCTCGGGCTCCTGGTGTACTGGAGGTAGTCCCATCTGGTTCCCTCTCAGATTTGGACTTGGCTGAGTCTGGTGTGACGCTTGGACCGCTTCCTTGTCTCTCCCTTCGGGGGCTCTACTTTGGCTGCGGTCCAGCCTTCGCCTATTCTGGGGGCTCCCGGGTCACAAGACGGTTGTTCGAGGGTTTGTGTGGGGGCCTGAATTTTACCATGGTGGTCTACCCGGCGGGTTGGATTTAGCTTCGTCAGCTGTTCTGGTTCCTTCAGAGACCTCCCTTCACCCTCTCGCAACCATTGGATTCGGCCTCTGGGGGCCTTTCGTCAGTTGCTGCATCGCCGACTTCCTCTGGATTTTTTGGCGTTCAGTGCCTTGGCGCCTCCCCGAGGTCTCGCTCGGTGTGTTCACGGACGCGTCATTTCTTGGCTGGGGCTTTGTGACCAGTGGTCATGGGCCATCCTGGCCATCCCGGCCACGTACGGTGGGCGTCCGTCCTTTCGTCGGGCTCACAGCACAGTGTGGGAGTTTGCGGCTGTGTGGATGTCGCTTCGGTGAGTTTGGGTCACTCGTGGATCGACAATCCTGCTCCTTCCGGACTGCTCCCCAGTGGTTCATTACCTAAACTGCGGGGGGGGGTTGATGCGGTCATTGGCTCTTTGGGGCTGGTCACTTAGGGTGACCAGCAGTAACCTCCTTCTTTGGGTTACGTGTCTGCTGAGCTGTTTCTCCAGGTCTTGACTCGATTGGAGACTTTCCAGGGAAGAGTTGTCCTTCTGGCCCCTAGGTGGCTGGCTCAGCCTTGGTTTCAGGCGCTGCTTGCTTGGTGTCTGAACCCATAGGTCTTCTTTCAGCAGATGTGTACAGCTCGGTATGTGGCTGGTTCGCTCTTCTCGAGTCTTTGCGCTTGGGCTTTCTGACTCTGGTCAATCATCACTTGTTTGATATGCGGGGTGGCTTCGTTGATGGTGTCCCACCTGTGTGCTTCATCTTGGCAGCAGTATGAAGTTTCCTGGCAGTCCTTCCATTATTTCTTATCTCTGTGTAGGTGTACTTCTTTCTTGGATAGGGTTGTTTTGTCCTTCCTTTTGTGGTTGTTCCAAGACCGTCATCTTATGCCAAATACTGTCGCCTTGTATCGTGCGGCACTAGTGGAGCGGCTGCAGCTTGCGTTCGGTATTGATGTTACTTCTGCTCCGTTCCACAAGCTGTTCTTGTGTGTTGTTTTACCTCCGGCCTGCTCATGGGCCGCCTGAGCCATCCTGGTCATTGAACCGGGTGATCTCCTTCCTCTCTTCTCCTCGGTTTGTGGTGGCCCCTTTGGTTCAGGTTTGTTTGGCGAAGGCTCTTTTGTTGGCATTTGGGGGTCAGGTCGGGGAGCTTCATGCTCTCTTCCGGCGCAGGGGCTTCTGCTTTTTTGGTCCCGGTAGTTGTTTTCTTCATTTGCAGCTGTCTCCTTTTCTGGCACAGAATGAGACTGCTGTTTCCCGGAGAGGTCCTTCGGTTGTTAATGCTTGGTCAGGGCCACACTTGGGTTGACCAGTTTCCCTTCTTTCCTGTTTTGGGGTTCGGGTCTCCCAGGTCATCCGCTGGGAGCCGGGTCTGGCCCGCTTGCAGTCTATCCTCATGTTCATGGCTTCGTATGTTTGCTGTGTTGCTGATCGCCTCCCGGGTTTGTCCTTCTTATGTTATCTTTGGGTAAGTAGCTCTGGGGAGCCAATGGGCTTCCCCCCCCCCCACCCCACAGAAAACCAGCGTTGAATGTAATGGAACACCATTTTCTAGGTGATACCCGGAGGCTTCCCGGTAACTCTCCCTCTGGTTGGCGTTCTTTTTGCGTGTTTTGACATCGAGCCTCAGAACTGCAGGGTGGATAGCTGGGGTGAGGGTCTGGGGCTCCCCATCCCTATCCCTGGGAGGAGGAGGGGGTTGCGCATACAGTGGCGCAGCGGCGTGGGGACATCATGCTCATTTTCATTTGGCGAGTTCTATCCAATAGTTTGGCTTTTAGTAGCAATATTTTAACCAGAATAGGGGGTTTGTTTTGGGGCGTGTACCTTTCTGTATGCTTGACCCGGCCGATGGCACACATAGACGGCTTCCACCCATATGGGGGTTTCTATAGGCCATTGCTCCTTGTGCCTCTCAGAGGGGGCTAGGTTCTGGCTCATGGTCCCCATTAGTCCTAGAACTTCATGCACTTTGACATGTACTTCATGCACTCCATGCACACAGTCAATGTGCATGGAGTTCTAGGCCAAAGTCTAAGATATCCATATCAGTCTGGATAGTTCCGGGGAGCCTCCGGGTCTCACCCAGAAAATGACGTTTCATTACATTCAACACTGATTTTTTTAAGAGATTTTTCTGGATAAGCAGCATTCATATAGAATAATGAGGGGGCCAAACTGGTAATTGTAATAAGGTTTAAAAGACTGAATGTACGTGAATTGGGAACCCCCAGTACTGTATAACTTTGTTTTAACCTTGGTTAAAGCAACACAGTATTTTTAAGTGAAATTAGAAATATAAAATATTGAATATACTGATGTTTCAAATTCAATTTAGAAGTTCCTTAATTAAGCACTTTGATGCCAAGAGGATATCTACAATAATTTTGTTTTATTTTCTTAGAACATTAGTGTCAGGACCTGTGTGTGCCCTGAGTTGGTATATCTGGTTATATATAATGGAAAGGCCACCAGATACTGTAACCACGAACTACAATGCTGGGGTTGTCTTCATGGCTTCAAGTGTTATTGTTGAGGTAGCAGCTGAGGTGCCATTTGTCCTTGCAGAGTTACAGCTGTGGAGCAAAACTAAGGTAAGAGTTTGAACATGTATTTTATACTGTTGTTGCCTTAACTATAACAGGTGTTCAGAAAGTTTTGAGCCTTATTTTTTCTTAACATGTAGTGGTAATGCTCCTGGCATGTTAGCATATGTCAGTATCTTAGAAGAGAAGACTCTGGCTTAAGTTTCTTAAGGAATGTTCAAAATATAAGACAGTGTTGGTGCTTTGGAATTTGGAATGTGAAGTTCATTATAAACCATGCTGTGTATTACCATACAGAGCCTGCCTCTTGTATGTGGTGGTCAACTTAGAATCCACATCTTAACTGAGTACATAAAATATAACCCTGATAGCATGGTCACATACTATATAAGATATTTATTAGACAGTGACAGTGAATGAAAACATTGTTTTTGGCAAGACCCCCCACCCTATACTAGTATTTATGCACTGGTATAGCTAAGCCTTAGGAATTGTACCAGGACTCGACCCATGTTGACTTATTTGAGGCCAGGACCAGAATCTGGCTTTCTCTATGAGATGAGAAGTCTGAGAATCTATGATTTGCCTAAAGTGGTTTACCTCCTTCCTCATTTGTGTGGTGTATTTTAGGTCAGACAAGCCTCTGCTGGGACCCGTATGCAACTTAATTTTTCAGCATAGTGTATTAGGGTTCCCTGGAACTTCAGTTCTATGCAAGGCCACTGCTTCATTTATGCTTCATGTATATGCAGTACCAGAATTTCCTATCCTGGTGGCCATTCAGCTTTTCAGGTTACAATTCAGTGTGATTTTGAATGCCGTTGGTTGGTTGGTTGGTTTGTTCTGTTGCAACCTTCTCCTTCTTTTCTGGAGAAGAACGAGATGACTGCTTCCCCGAGGGGTCCTTGGGTCATTGATGCTTGGTTGGTCAAGCTGGGGGTGCATCATGTTTTGTGTCCGGTTGCGGGCCTCGGATTCAGTGGCCTGGGATGCCCTTTGCGTTGATCCTGTTAACCACATTCCCTGTTCCTGGGCTTGGGTCTCCCAAGTCGTCTGCAGAATTAAGTCAAGGCAGCCTACAATCTATCCTCGTGCTCATGACGTTAGGAAGTTTGCTGCTTTGGCTGCGATGTTTGACAATATGTCTTGGACTGATATTCGGGTGCAGGGATTTTGGAGGTCAAACAGGGTCCTAGCTGCCTGATATTTGGTTAATGTTCCTGCTCCTGGACGCTCATGTGTTGCTTTGGATCGTAGGTTGCCGCCAGTTGTTTCGATTTCGTGTTGAGGAGTGTGTGGCGGCCGCCTCCCAGGTAAGTCCCTCTTTTCCTTATCTTTGGTTAGGTAGCTCCAGGAAGCCAAAGGGGCTCCCCACAGAAAACCAGCATTAAATGTGATGAAACACAATTTTCTGGGTGAGCCCTAGAGGCTCCCTGGCACCCTCCCTCCAGTCGACATTTTTTTTTTTTTTTTTTTGCATTGTTTTGATGCTTAGCTTCCGAACTGGAGTGCTAGGTAGCCGGCGTGCAGGGGGGGGTCCAGGGCTCCCCGTTCCTCCCTTGGGGCTTTCCCCTTCCTCTCGGGGCGACTGCAAGGTTCACACCTTGCAGTCGCCCCATTTGCTTGTTTGCTTGAGATTGGAAGGAGTTCTGCCCCTCTGTTTGGTTTTTGGTTTCAATTTTCTTATCATGTGGGGTCTGTTTTGTTATGCCTACCTTTCTGGGGTGCCTAACCCCAGTCGATGGTAGATAAGGAAAACCCCCAACCATGGGGATCTTCCAGGGTCATTGCTCCCTGTGCCTCTCTGAGGGGACCAGGTTCTGGCTTGTGGTCCCCAGTAGGCTGTGGTCCTACCTCAGCGACTGGCTGGTTTGGGCTCCCAGCCAGTCCTCTTGTTAGCTAGCCAGGGATTTGGTTCTTTCCCAGCTCGCCAGGTTTGGATTCTTGGTGAATTGGAGGAAGTCCCATTTGGTTCCCTCCCAGATTTGGACCTGGCTGGGTCTTGTATGGGACTCTCGGACCGCTTCCTTGTCTCTTCCTCCGTTGTCTCTCCTGTGGCTGCGGTCCCGTATGTGCCTGTTTCTGGGGGCTCCCGGGTCACTCGGCAGTTGTTCGAGGGACTGTGCGGGAGCCTGAACTTCATGATGATGGTCTATCCGACGGGTCAGGTTTGGCTTCGTCGGCTCTTCTGGTTCCTTTGGGGACATCCTTCCGCCTTTCACGCAATCACTGGATTCGGACCCTTGGGACCTTGCGTCGGCTGCTGCATCGCCGGCTTCCTCTTTGGGTTTTTCGTGGATCAGTGCCTTGGCGCCTGCCTGAGCCTTCGCTTGTTGTGTTCACGGACGCGTCGTCTCTCAGCTGGGGCATTGTGACCAGTGCTCGCCAGGCCAGCCAGGGACGGTGGGGTCCGTCCTTCGGTCAGGCTCACAGTACGGTGCGGGAGTTCGCGGAGGTGTGGTTTGCGCTGCAGAGGGTTCGGGTCGCCCACGGATTGACGATCCGGCTTTATTCGGACTGCTCCCCAGTGGTTCATTGCCTGAACTGGGGGAGTTCGATGCGGTCCTTGGCTCTTTGGTGCTCGTCGCTTCGGGTGACTAATCTGCTGAGTTCTCAGGGTTTAGCTCTCCTGGCTGTTCACGTGCGGGAGTGTCTGTCCTGGCCGACGGGCTGTCTTGTTTCGTTCCCCCTTCCACGGAATGGATGGTCGACGCCGACTCCTTCCTTTGGCTTTGCCGGAGGTTCAGGGGCCCCAAGGTGGAGCTCTTCGCATCGGTGTGGTCGAGGTGCCTTCCCATATATGTGTTGCCCTTCCCCGACTGCGAGGCCGTCGGGGTTATCTTGAGGTTATCTTGAGATGATTTCGGGGCTTTTTAGTGTCCCCGCGGCCCGGTCCTCGACCAGGCATCCACCCCCAGGAAGCAGCCCGTGACAGCTGACTAACACCCAGGTACCTATTTTACTGCTAGGTAACAGGGGCATAGGATGAAAGAAACTCTGCCCATTGTTTCTCGTCGGCGCCTGGGATCGAACCCAGGACCACAGGATCACAAGCCCAGCATGCTGTCCGCTCGGCCGACCGCTCCCAGTCCCGACCGGGTTGATGTCTTTTGGCAGGACTGGTCGAGGTGGGGGTTCCTGTACCTCTTTCCCCCCGGTTCAGCTGTTGCTCCAGGTCCTGACTCGCTTGGATACTTACTAGGGGAAAGTTGTCCTCTTGGCCCCGTGGTGGCCGGCCCAGCGGTGGTTTCAGGCGCTGCTTGCTCGGTGTCCAAACCCGGAGGTTTTACCGTGGCTCCGCCTGTTTTAGCAGATCGGACCGGTGCGTCACGTGGCTGGTTCGATCTTCTCCTCGAGTCTTCACGTATGGTATTTTTGACTCGGGTTTATCATCTCTATGGTGATCAGGTGGCTTCCTTGTTAGTGTCTCACCTGCAGGCTTCTTTTAGGCGTCAGTATGAAGTTTCCTGGCGGTCCTTTTGTTTCTTTCTGCGTCTTTGTCATTATGTTTCGCTGTCTGTTAGGGTTGTGTTGTCCTTTCTCTCTCTTGGTTGTTCCAGGACCATCATTTTATGTCTAACATTGTCGCCTCATATCGTGCTGCGCTGGCGGAGCCGCTTGAGCTTGCTTTCAGTATTGACGTTATGTCTGCGCCATTTCGCAAGCTTTCTCGTGCATTGTTTCACCTCCGGCCTGCTCATGCTCTGCCTGAGCTGTCCTGGTCATTGGATAAGGTGCTCTCATTTCTTTCTTTTTCTTGGTTTGTTGTGGCCCCTTTCGTTCAGGATTGCTTCTTGAAGGCTCTTTTTCTGTTGGCATTGGCCTCTGGGGGTCGGGTCGGTGAGCTTCATGCTCTCCTCCGGTACAGGGGTGTCTGCTCTTTCGGTCGTGGCGATCGGTTTGTCCATCTGCAGCCGTCTCCTTCTTTTCTGGCAAAGAATAAGACTTTCCCTCCTGCTTTCCAGAGGGATCCTTGGGTTTTTGATGCTTGGTTGGTCAGGCCGGGGGTGTATCATGTTTTGTGTCCGTTGCGGCCCTTCGCCGTTATTTGTGCGCCACGGCTTCTTTGTCCGGGGATGCCCTTTGGGTTGATCCGGTTTCCCTTCTTCCCTGTTCGCGGGTGTGGGTCTCCCTGGTCGTCTGCAGGGTTGTTAAGGCTAGTCAGCCGGCGGTCTATCCCCTGGCTCATGATGTTCACAAGTTCGGTGCTCTTGCTGCCGTGTTTGGCAATATGTCCTGGGGCTTACATTCGGGCTCGAGGATTTTGTCGGTCGAACAGGGTCCTGGCTGCTCGGTATCTCGTAAACGTTCCTGGGCCTAGTCGGGCCTGTGTCGTTTTAGGTCGGTGGTTACAGCCAGTTGTCTCAACTTCAAGTTGAGTGAGCAGCGACTGCCTCCCAGGTAAGTCCCCATATTTTTCCTCTGTTGATAGTTAGCTCTGGGGTTAGCTGATGGGGCTCCTCCCATCAGGAGAGGAGCCAACATTGGCTGTAATGTTGGCTGTAATCAAACCAACATTGAATGTAATGAAACGCCATTTTCTGGGTGAGCCCCGAAGGTTCCCTGGCACCCTCCCTCCCTCCCTCCCTCCCTCCCTCCCTCCCTCTTGTTGGCATTTTTTTTTTTCTGTGTTTTTTTATGTTTGACCTCAGAACTGATGGCTGTAGTGGCCAGACACGGAATGCTTCCAAATACATGGTCCCTGGTAGGCAAGAACTCCAATCGACTGATGCCACGGTCTAATACATACGTATCAGCCCGGTATGCTCTGGGGAGCCTCTGGGGCTCACCCAGAAAGTGACGTTGCATTACATTCAACGTTTTTTTTTTTTAATTCATAAACCTTGTTTTAGCTGTAAGATTTGTAAGTCATTTATGTTTAATATTTTTCTTATTACAGGTTGTGATAGAGGGCCTAATGCAGGTACTGCGATCTATTCTTCTGGCAGCTTTTGTGTATTTGTGGCCCATGCAAGCTGTCTTTGTGTACGGTGTCAGTCATATTTTGGGCTCGTTATTTTATTGTGCGTCATATTATGGGCTGTTTTTTAAGATATTCTGCAGTAAAGAAAATGCCAAACAGCTACCAGTTCGAGAAATAAGGCAACTTTTTCCCAAATGGAAGCAAGGAAAACTGTTGGTAAGCTAATACATTTGCTTTTATATATTAACTATTGCATGCAATAAAGTTTATTGTTTATATCTTAATTGGCTTATAGATCATTGGTTGGTTTATCTGGGGTTGCTACCCTTGATAATTCCCTTCAGCTAACACCAGGCTTCTGGTGAGACAAGAATCATTTTCACTTGCCCCTCTATCATGGTTGATGAGCTTATGGAAATCATTGATTAACCCAATTCTGAGGTGAATCACCTGAGCCAAGCAAACACGGAAAACCACTCAATCCTCATTTTTAAAAGTTGTTTGTAAACTACGAATTGCCAAACAACTTTGTAAACATAATCCTCCATAATCTACCATCCCTAACCTGTGCTATGAAATCCTTTCACACTCACTCAGTATAGTGTGGAGGAAGAGCTTGGACACGGGGAAGATACCAGATGCATTTTAAAGTAGCAGACATAGCCCCTCTACACAAGGGAGGGAGCAAAGCATTGGCAAAGAATTATAGACCAGTTGCACTAACGTCACACATAATAAAAGTATTTGAGAGAGTGATTAGGAGTCAGGTCACCAAATTCATGGAGACCAATGACATTCACAACCCAGGCCTACATGAATTTTGAGCGAGAAGATCGTGCCTCTCACAGCTACTTGATCACTACGACAAAGTCACTGAGGCATTAGAAGAAAAACAGAATGCTGATGTGATATACGCGGACTTCTTGAAGGCTTTCGATAAATGTGACCATGGAGTGATAGCACACAAAATGAAGTCAATGGGAATAACCAGTAAAGTAGGATGCTGGATACTCAGTTTTCTGTCAAACAGGACTCAGCGAGTAACAGTCAACCATATAAAATGAGTCCAAGCGCAGTTAAAAGCTCTGTACCTCAGGGTACAGTATTTGCACCGCTGCTTTTCCTTATTCTCATATCAGATATAGACAAAAATACAAGTCACAGCTTCATATCATCCTTTACAGATGACACAAAAATCAGTATGAAAATTACCTCAGCTGAAGACATTGAAAAACTTCAAGCATGAAAATTCCTTCCCGGCGGGGTCATGCCAGGGCTCGAGGTTCCGTTCATCGGGGTTGGCTACAGGTGTCGGGTTCGTTGCCAGTGCTGCCTGCGGTCCTGACCGCCTGGTCGGCGCGATGTTCAGTCTGCGCGCATTTTGGGTTCTCATAAGGAGCAGTGGCCATTTCACGGTTCGCCCCATTGACGGGGTGGTGGGGGGAAGGCTTGCTCTGTTCGCTCACGCCTGGTCTTACGATTTATGGGCTTTTCGGGTCGTTTCTCTCGGCCTGTGATGGCGTTGGGTGGCTCCTCCTACTTTGGGGGGTTCGGGGCTGATGAGGCAGGCTTCCTCTCCTGCGCTCTGTCTGATCATCTTGAAGTGGGTGCTCTTGGGCATGGTTGAAATGTTGATGTCTCTCAGGTGGGTTTCCTGCCTGTTTCCAGTTCCGAAGAGGGACTGTGCAGACCTTCGGTTCATTCTGGACTTGTCCCGTCTGAACCCTTGCCCCTGGTTTCGGATGACCACTCTGTCCCAGGTTCGGCTTCTGATGGGGCCGGGCGCTTGGTGTCCCTGGACCTCAAGGACGCATATTGACACGTCCCTATTTATCTGGGGTTCCGGAACTGGCTCAGTTTTGTTGTAGTGCATCAGTGTTAACGCTTTTGTTGTCTCCCATTCAGGTTGAATCTGGCACCTCGCGTGTTCACATGCCTTACCCGGGTCGTGGTGGCCCGTCTGCACCTGTTAGGTGTTCGGGTGTTGGCTTACCTCGACGACTGGCTGGTTTTGGCTCCCAGTCGGTTTGCGTGTCTGCTCGCCAGGGATTTGGTGCTTTCCCAGCTCGTCGGGTTCAGGTTCCTGGTGAACTGGAGGAAGTCCCTTCTGGTTCCCTCCCAGGTTCGGTCCTGGCTGGGTCTTGGGTGGGACTCTCGGACCACTTCCTTGTCTCTTCCTCCGGCGTCTCTCCTTCGGCTGCGGTCCGGCAAGGGCTTATTTTTGGGAGGCTCCCGGGTCACCCAGCGGTTGCTCGAGGGTCTGTGCGGGAGCCTGAACTTTGCGATGTTGGTCTTCCTGCAGGGTTGGGTTTGGCTTCGTCGGCTGTTTTGGTTCCTTCGAGGACGTCCCTTCTGCCCCCTCTTGCGATCACTGGGTTCGACTCCTGGGAGCCTTTTGTTGGCTGCTGCATCGCCGACTTCTTGTTCAGGGTCTGTGCCTTGGCACTGCGCCTACCCGAGCCCTTGCTCGATGTGTTCACGGATGCGTCATCTCTAAGCTGGGGCTTTGTGACCAGTGCTCACCAGGCCGGCCAGGGGCGGTGAAGATCTGTCTTTCCGTGGGGCCCACAGCACGGTGCGGGAGTTCGCTGCGGTGTGGTTTGTGCTTTGGTGGGTTCGGGTAACCCGCAAATCAACAATACTGCTCCATTCAGACTGCTCTCCTGTGGTGCATTGCCTGAACCGAAGGGGTTCGATGCATTCCTTGGCTGTTTGGGGCTGGTCGCTGCAAGTGACTCGTCTGGTGAGTTCTCGGAGTTTGGCTCTTCTGGCGGTTCATGTCCAGGGAATGTCCAATGTCCTGGTGGACGGCCTGTCCCGGTTCGTTCCCCTGTCCACGGAATGAACAGTTGTCGCCGACTCATTCAGTTGGCTCTGCCGGACGTTCGGGCGCCCGGAGGTGGACCTCTTCCCGTCTGCAGGGTCGAGGCGTCTTCCAGTGTATGTGGCGCCCTTCCCCGGTTGCGAGGCTGTTAGGGGTCGATGCCTTTTGGCAGGACTGGTCGAGGTAGGGGTTCCTGTACTACTTTTCCCCAGTTCAGCTGGTGCTCCAGGTCCTAGCTCGCTTGGAGACTTACCAGGGGCAAGTAATCCTCTTGGCCCTGTGGTGGCCAGCCCAGCCGTGGTTTCAGGCGGTGCTTGCCCGGTGCTCGAACCCGGAGATTTTTCCGCGGCTTCGTCTTTTTCAGGAGATCGGCCCAGTCTGGTACGAGACTGGTTCGCTCTTCTCCTCGAGTCTTCGCGTTTGGTGTTTTTTACTTAGGTTTATCACCATCTCTATGGTGCTCAGGTGGGCTCTCTGATGGTTTCCCACCTGCAGGCTTCTTCTCGGAGGCAGTATGAAGTTTCCTTGCGGTCCTTCAGTTTCTTTTTGATTCTTCGTCGTAACTCTTTGCTTTCAGCTCGGGTGGTGGTGTTCTTTCTCTCTCTTGGTTGTTCCAGGACTGTTACCTTATGCCTAATATATCGTATCGCCTTGTATCCTGTGGCGCTGGCGGAGCCGCTGCAGCTTGCTTTCGGTATCGATGTTACTTCTGCACTGTTTCACAAGCTGTCTTGTGTGTTATTTCACCTCCGGCCTGCTCATGCGCTGCCTGAGCTGTCCTGGTCTATAGACAGAGTGCTCTCCTATCTCTCTTCTTCTCGGTTTGTTGTGGCCCCTTCGAATCAGGATTTTTTGCTAAGGTTCTTTTTCTGTTGGCATTGGCTTCTGGGGGTTAAGTGGCGGAGCTTCATGCTCATCTCCGGCGCAGAGGTTTTTGCTCTTTTGGTTGTGGTCATAGGTATGTTCGTCTGCAGCTGTCTCCCTCTTTTCTGGCAAAGAATGAGACTGTTGCTTTCTGGAGGGGTCCTTGGGTTGTTGATGCTTGGTTGGTCAGGCCTGGGCTTCATGTGTTGGGTCCGGTTGCAGCCCTCTGCTGTTATCTGCGCACCACGGCTTCTGTGTCCAGGGATGCGCTTTGGGTTGATCCGGTTTCCCTTCTTCCCTGTTCGCGGGTTCGGGTCTCTCAAGTCGTCCCCAGGGTTATTAAGTCTAGCCATCCTGCGGTCTATCCCCGTGCCTATGACGTTCGTAAGTTTGCAACTCTTGCTGCCGTCTTTGGCAATATGTTTTGGGCTGACATTCGGGCATGGGGTTTTTGGCGGTCGAACAGGGTCCTGGCTGCACGCTACCTCGTGAACGTTCCAGGGCGCAGTCGGGCTTGTGCCGCATTGAGACGGCGGTTGCAGCCCGTTGTCTCGACTTCGAGTTGAGGAGTGGAGCACCGACCGCCTCCCGGGTAGGTCCCCTTCTTCCTTGTTTTGTCTTTGGTGAGTTAGCTCCGGGGAGCCGTAGGGTAAAACCAGTGTTGATTGTAATGAAACGCCATTTTCTGGGGGTGAGTCCTGGAGGCTTCCCGGCAACCCTCCCTCCCTCCCTCCGGTCGGCAATTTTTTGCATTTCTGATATCCTGCCTCAGAACTGGGGTGAGGATCGCCGGTGCGAGGGTCTGGGGCTCCCCCATCCTCCATCTGGGGAGGGGGAGCTGCGCAGATATGCGGCACGACTCGTGTGACGTCGTGCTTGTTTGCTCGTTTTTCTTTTGGGGAGTTCTGTCCACTCGTTTGATGATTTTCATTGTTAACCAGAATAGGGGATTGTTTTGTGGCGCTTACCTTTCTGGGTGCCTGTCCCAGTCGATGACAGATATATACAGCCTGTAATGTTCCAAATCACATGTGCATTTCCATGATGGGCCATTGCTCCTCATGCCTCTATGAGGGGTCTGGCTCGTGGTCCCCGGTAGGCCTAGAACTCAACCCACATTGACTGATGCAAAATAGTTAGGGTATCCATATCGGCCATAGATAGCTCCGGAGAGCCTCTGGGACTCACCCAGAAAATTGAGTTTCATTACATTCAACGCTGGATTTTTGGTTTTGGGTTGATCTCTGATCCTTATGCTTACCTCACCTCATAGAGAAAGCCAGATAGTGGTTCTTGTTTCCAGTAGATTCGAGTGGGTTTTGTAAGCCTGGTACAATTTCCTCAGTCTTGACAGCCCCAGTAACACTGGGAAACACTAAGTGATTCAACAGAAAAGGTGGTTTCATTACATTCAATGCTGTTTTCTTTTATTTAATTTTAGCCCCAAAATGGACCCTGTACAGTACTGGTTGCCAAACTTGGAGCCGTGGCTCCCTTGGGGTGGGGGGGGTTCTTTTTGCAATAAGTAGGGGTCCATAAGTTGAGGCAATATACAGGTTATGATACTCAAAGAAAGAAAAATATCATAATAACAACAATTACACACAGAAATCACAATAGTGTGATGTATCAAATGAACAAATCCACAAGGGCCGTGACGAGGATTCAAACCTGCGTCCGAGATCATTCCTGTCTGAGATCATAATAACAACAATAAAATTTATGTTGCTAAAAATTCTTTTAATACTGAGTGTAGGGGGCCATTAATAAGGATGCACTCTGAAAAAGGTGTAATGAATGTAAAGAGTTTGGGAACCACTGCTATTCAGTAATACATTTATATATTTTTTCTTTCTAGCCTGAAGTGAATAATGAGTTGGGATCCTTATCATGGAGCTTCTTTAAACAAGGCTGGTTAATGGAAGCTCTGACAGAAGGAGAATTATATCTCATGAATTTCTTTCCACTGATATCCTTAGCCCAGCAGGGAGTGTATCAGGTGAGAAGATTTGCATTACAGCTTTAATAAATAGTCAGAAACATTTGTTTTGTATAAGTAACTCAGAGAATACCTGACTGCACCCAGGTGTGTCTCCTTTCCCCACTTACCCTCCCTTCTTCCGAATCTCCCCACTTTCTTCCCCTCAACCCCCTCCCTCTCCAACTTTTGCCCACTATCACCCCTCTTCTCTCCCCTGTCTCTTTCCTTCTTCACCTTCTCCCCCCCTTCCTCTCCACTATTCTCCCTCCCCCCCTCTCCAACCTTTTCCCTCACCATTTCCCCTCTTCCCCATCTTCTTCCCTATCCACCCTCTCTCATCTCTCTTCAAACACCCCATCTTCTCCTTTCCTCTCGTAAAACATCCCCCATGTATTTCCCTTCTTTTTCCTTCTCTCCTTATCTCTGTCTATCTTCCTGTCTCTTTTTTTTTGCCCTGGTTGACCCATTCTCTCTCTGTAGACTTTTCTCTGTCTGTTTCTGTCCCTGTCTCTGACTGACTGACTGCCTTTCTCTTATAAAAATAATAATATAGTTCCTATTAGTATGGAGGTTGTCAGCTGGTGGGAGCAGCCTAGCAGTGTGAATTATTTAAAAAATAATAGTTTTCCATTGGTTTTGGGAAAGGGGTAGGGCTTTTTCAATTGTGGAGACTGTTTTAACACTTTCGCGCCCTGGGCATGCGCGCTGCCAACTTAGAGGTCACGCCCCCGGCATGCGGGCGATTGTGCAGGCGAGCGTGTGGCAACACCGAAATATGTATACTCTTTTAATTTTTTTCACCTTAATTCTCATGCTACGTCGTTTGTTTAGGTATCATTGTATTCGCAATAGAATTCCCTACAGGTGTAGATGCATATAATGTCCAAAAGCCCGGCGTGACTCCCCCGCAGCAAAGCCTAAAGTCTGCAAAAGTTTCCCGTGAACGCACAAAATCCATAAAATGTGTATGCTCGTTTCAGTTTCCTCACCTTAATTCTCATGCTACGTCATTTATTTTGGTATCATTGTGTTCGCAATTAAATTTCCTGCAGATGTATATGCATATAATGTCCAAAAGCCTGGCATGACTCCCAGCAGCAAAGCCTAAAGTTACCCATGAACAAGCACCAATTTCACACCACCTTAATTTATATACTCGTTCAGTTTGATAACATCAATTTTCGTGTTATGTCTTTCATTTTGGTATCAAATTGTTCGCAATATAAAGGTGCGTATTTTAAAACTATTCCCATACTAATAGAGCAATAACTGGAATTTTAACAAATATTTTAATTTAGGACACTCATCATCACAAAATTATTTATATCTTTCCAGTGTTCTGACATAAATTTTCGTGTTACATCTTTCATTTTGGTATCAAATTGTTCGCAATCTAAAGGCGCGCATTTTAAAACTAGTCGCATAATAATAGCACAATAAATAGAATTTTAACAAATATTTTAAAAATTTTACCAAAAACGTATTTATAATCTTTCAAGTGTTCTGACATCAAGTTTCATTTTGATATCAAATTGTGCGCACTCTAAAGGCACTCATTTTGAAACTATCCTAAAGTCAATCGGTTAATAAATGAATTTTATAGAAATATTTTTTTATCGGACGCCAGCACAGTCCGATGCTCGGACTCAAAAAAAATCGGACGCCAGGGACGTTTGAAGAGTGTGATAGTGTTAACTTGCAAGTTTTTGCTCTTTATGGCCAGAGTATGATTAATAAAATATTTGTAGTAGTTCTTGCTATATCAGTGCACAATGTGTTAAGATATTATAATAAAAAATAGATCTCTCCTCAACCCCCCCCCCCTCAGAAAAATAAAAACATATAATAGTTTCCCATTGGCTTTGAGAAAGCCTGTGAAGCTATGGAAGGATTATCTATTTTATGTTGCTATGGGCAAAGTATATGAATATAAAATTTCAGTTCATTTTCCTGAGATCAGTGCATAATTTTCATATTGTTATAAGAAAAAAAAGTTTGTTTTGAACTGTTATTTTTTTTAATACAGTATTTAGTCAGGCAGTGCAAAAAGCAGTTAAGGGGATCAGTATGTGAACATGGCATGTTGTTCCCTATTGAATTCTGGTGACCCTGATCAGCCTATGTCCGTCCCATACCTCAGACCATTTGCCCTGCAAAGATGGATGAGGTTAGCCTAAGCAGCTGGCCTCCAACCTTGTACTGACAGACAAACAGACATTCTCTCTCTCATCAATATAAATTAGCTCTCTGTTCTATACTTGTACTTCCTTTGTCATTGTAAATGAGGTTCACCAGATATATTAATTGTAGTTCCTTGTGTCATTCTTTCATATCCTCAATCTGAATTGAAACAATATAAACATATATTTTTACTTTGCTGTTGTGTTCACTGAGGTGACTCATTAGTTGTGGCCTAAACCTCTATTCTCTGTCATGCTCAGTAGGTTCATTCTCCTTACAACATCTGTGATAAAATCCTGTCTTGGTTCCTAAGAACCAAGGTGAAGTTCATCAACACCTCCAATTCAGCATCCCTAAACACAAAGTGGACTATCTCCGGGGCAGTCAACTGGATGCTCTGGAGACTACCTAGACTACTGAAGACAGGCAAAATGAACCTGTAAAGCCCACTGCCTGACATGCGTGAACTTCATCAGGAGGGTCAAATATGAGCCACACGAGCAGCGCAGACCTTACAAGACTCTGGGTCAGAGGTGTCTTTGACCCAACAAGTGGCATGGAGGAGGCATAATAATTGGTTGTCACCCATTGTAAGGATGAACAACTCTCAATATGCACAAGGTGAGAATGGGCTCAGAGGGAATATCCATTGGCCACACTGAACCCATAAGGAATTTCCAGGGCCTGAAGGGTAAACTAAACAGGACATTCAGGCACTGGGGATGCTATGCTGGACTTAAAAGTTAGCCAACACAGCCTGGGCTACATGGATGTGAATGCCGACCTTGGCACACTGTATGAACAAGCACACAAGCCAACAAGCTGGTGTGGCCCACTAGCCATTGCTCCTTCCTGACCCAGGTCAAGACAACTATACTCAGAACTTCATCGGGAGGGTCAGATATGAGCCACACGAGCAGCGCAGACCTTACAAGACTCTGGGTCAGAGGTGTCTTTGACCCAACAAGACAACTATACTCTTAACTCACCCAAGGCAAGGGCCACCCCAAGCAGGATGGACCACTAAGAGAGCAAACTCTCAAACACACCAGAAAAGAGAGAATTGTCAGTGCAAGGGTAGTGCTAGAGAGCTCTCAGGGTAGGTAGCCCTGAACACTTACAGCTCCAATCACTCTAAAAGGTCAAGCCTACACTACACCAAGAATATACCAACCAAGCTACACAGGACACAGTTCAAAAAGGCACTTAGCTGAAAGGCACTGGGGCCAGCCACTGTTTACAGACAATCCAGAAGCCTTACTGCAGACATGTTGTACACACTGCATCAGCAAAAGAACTGACTGTTCTATCTAGTGTGCAGTGTGAGCCCCAGCCCACCCTCCCCAAACAAGTGGGAGAGAGGTGGGGGTGAACAAGACGATGCTTGTTTTCAGAGATTCAATAATTTGTTAACATTGTTAGCGGAATTCATTCGGCAGGTTTGTGAGGCTTCGGTCTCTTTTGAACCCAGCAGTGGTCTTTATCAGTTTGCTGACTTTCGGGATGCCTTTCTCAGTGAGGTGGAGGAGTGTCACCTGCTCACTGCTCCTGAGAGGGGGGGGGGGGCTGGTTCTGGTTTTGATCCCCGGTAGGCCAAACTGAACAACATGGCTGATGTGATCCAGTAGTTGGGAGCTATCTCTTTGACATACTTTCAGGGAGCCACAAGGGGCTACAATTTTCTATCTGTTGAAGATTCTAGGTGTTAATGACCTGATGGCTCGGTCTCTGACCAGGTTGCTGGTCGATCCACCACCAGGCTGTTTGATGTGACTGCTCGCAACCTTATGTATGAATCACAGCCTGGTTTATTAGCTGTCCTTTGAAGGTGCTTGTCGAGTTCTGTTTTGAACACTGCAAGAAGTCGGCCAGTTATGTCATGTATGTTTGGGAAAAGTGTGTTGAAAATGTCTTCGGTCTTTGATGTTAAGTTCTCTCTTAACATTCCTATTGCACCTCTGCTCTTCATTGGGGCTATTTTGCACATCCTGCCATGTCTCCTGGTCTCGTGTGTTCTTATTTCTGAGTGCAGATTTAGAACTAGCCCTTCTAATATTTTCCAAGTGTAGGTTATTACACAGACGCCACACAGAAAAACATTTTGGATTTGTCTTTGCATGTCCTGTTGTACAAACTTCATAATTTCTTTTTGCTTTCCTTATTTTTAACATTTCTAACTTGTTTGACAAATTATTGTTCTAGATTGACTTCCCCATTATTAATCCTTTTATACAAAGCTTTCTATTTATATATAAGGTTCTTTAGACCCATAGTTATCCATTTGGGATCATTATTATTTGATCTAATCAATTTATATAATATACTATGTCCCTGGGCTTTGCTAAGAATATTTATAAATATTTTAAGCTATGTTTTAAATCTACATCGCAGTCCCTTGTTACGCCACACATTGCCAGGTTCACATCGCTTTCCAAGACCAGCCCACCTACCATGTTTACATGGTTAGGGCTGTCAAATCTATTCTTTCCAAGAAATTTCTTAGTCCATTAAATTCAGCTTTTTGGAGATCTGGCACCTTAACAGAATTTTCTCTTGCATTCTATTCCATTCTATGCGCATTCTATTCCATTCTATGCTAAATCTGATTTTCTTGTGATTACTGTTCTCTAACTTACTCCCTATTTTGATATTATTTATTAGTGTTAGCTAACACTAAGTCTAAAAATTATTTTCCCATGTCAGCTTCTTAATGTGTTACTAAGGAAGTAATCAACTAATTCTAAAAAATTCATCTATGTCAGTATTCGCTGCTTTATTAATCCAATTTATTTTACTAAAATTAAACTCGCCCATAACACAATCACTGTTTGGCCTAG